TTGCTGTTTCTCTCCTTCTCTTCCCCTGTGTCTGGAATCAGTGGGCCTGTCCTCAGGTGAGGCTAATAAACAAATAAATAAATAATAAGGGGCTAATTATGAATAGAAAAAGACACCTTTAGCATTCTAAGCACTTTGGAAATTCCAAGGTTCTTAGGAACTCTGTGGTAGGAATGGAAGACCAAATATACAGGGTCCAGCACAAATAACGCCCCCGTTTCATTACAAAATCATAAGCATGTAATTCTGTAACATAACAATAATACACTCAAGCACACCATATGACATTTTAGGTGAAATGTTCAAATTAAAACTGTAAATTATTGCCCTGGCTAGTGTAGTTCAGTGGATTGAATGACAGCCTGTGAACCAAAGGGTCACTGGTTTGATTCCCAGTTGAGGCATATGCCTAGGTGGCAGTCTGTCCTCAGTAGGGGACACACGAGAGGCAACCACACATTGATGTTCTCTTCTTCTCTTTCTCCCTCTCTTCCCCTCTGTCTATAAAAATAAATAAAATCTTTAAAAACAAATTTAAAAAACAATAAATTATTATAACCAAATTATTACCCTACCAACCACACTCAAGCAGGCATTGCTTTGCTGGACCCTATATATTTCGCATACATCATGATATCACAGATGGAATTCTTCTAGACTTTATCCTGGACACACTTTTATTTTTTTAATTTTTATTTATTTTTTAAAGATTTTATTTATTTATCTTTAGAGGGGAAGGGAAGGAGAGAGGGAGAGAAACATCAATGTATGGTCGTCTATCGTGCATCCCCTGCTGGGAACCGGCCCACAACCCAGGCACGTGCCCCAACCTGGAATTGAACCTCGATCCTTTGGTTCACAGGCCTGTGCCCAATCCACTGAGCTACACCAGCCAGGGCGAGACACACTTTTATACCAGTCAATAAAAAAAGAAACAAACAAGTATAAGATGCCAAAAAAAGCATTTGACAAAAACCAGCACCCATTTATGATAAAAACTCTCAGCAAAGTGGAATAGAGAAGACATACCTCAACACAGTAAAGGCCATATATGACAACCCACAGCTAGCGTCCTACTCACCAGGGAAAAACGCAGTGCTTCCCTTATGATCAGGAACCAGACAGGGATGTCACTTTCACCATCTTACTGAGTATAGCACTGGAAGTCGTAGCCACAGCAGGCAGACAAGAAGAAAGCAAAGACATCAAAATTGGAAAGGCGGTAGCAAAACTCATTATTTGCAGATGATATGATACTGTATATAGAGAACCCTACAGATGCCACCAAAAATTACTAGAACTGATAAACTCAGTAAAGTAGCAAGACAAAATTAATGTTCAGAAATTGGTTGCACTTTAAACACTAATAATTTACTCCCAGAAGGGGAAACTAAGAATCTCATTTACAATTGCAGCAATAAAATAAAATAAAATAAAATAAAATAAAATAAAATAAAATAAAATAAAATAAAATAAAATAAAATAAAATAAAATAAAATAAAATAAATAAAATATAAAATAAATAAAATATAAAATAAAATAAATAAAATAAAAAATAAAATAAATAAATAAATAAAATAAAATATAAAATAAATAAAATACCTCGGAATAAATTTAACCAAGGAGGTTAAATACTTGTATGTGGGAATACAAGACCTCGAAGAAAGAAACTGAAGAAAATACAAATAAATGAAGTGTATTCCAAGTTCAAGGATAAAAAGAACTAGCATAATTAAAATGTTTATACTACTCAAAGCAATCTGTAGATTCAATGCAATTCTTATCAAATACCAATGGTGTATTTCACAGAACTAGAACAAATAATCCAAAAATTTATATGGAGCCGCGAAAGACCCTGAATAGCTACAGCTATCTCAAGAGAAAAAAACAAAATTGGCAGCATCACACTACCGGATATCAACTATACTACAGGACTATAGTGATTAAAACAGTATGGTACTAGAATTAAAAAACAGGCATATAGCTCAATGGAACAGAATAAAGACCCCAGAAATAAACCCATGTCTATATGGTCAACTAATATTTGACAAAGGAGGCAAAAACATACAATGGGGTAAAGAATCTATTCAATAAATGGTGTTGGGAAAATTGGACAGATACACTAAAAAAAATTAAACTAGGTCACCTTCTTATACCATATACAAGAATAAATTTAAAATGAATTAAAGATTTAAATATGAGACTCCAAACAATAAAACTCCTAGAACAAAACATAGGCAGTAAAATCTTGGACATTTCTCCTCCCAATATTTTTTTTCTGATAGATCTTCTCTGGCAATGGAAACAAGAAAAATAATAAACAAATGGGACTACATCAAACTAAAAAGATTTTTTGCACAGCAAAGGAAACTATCAACAAAATGAAAAGGCAGCATAATGAACAGAAGAAGGCACACACCAAGGATACATCTGATGAGGGGTTAATATCCAAAGTTCACTAAGAATTCACAGAACTCAACACCAAGAAAACAAACAGTCCAATGTAAAAATGGGCAGGGGACCTGAATAGACACTTCTCCAAAGAGGACATACAGATGGCGAATAGACATATGAAAAGATGCTCAAGGGCACTAATCACCAGAGAAATGCAAATTAAAACCACAGTGCTATATCACCTCACACCTGTCAGAATAGCTATCATCAGTAAACAACGAACAGTGTTGGCAAAGATACGGGGGAAAAGGGAAGCCTTATGCACTGCTGGTGGGAATTCCCTCATCCAAGGGAATGCGGACAGGTGCAGCCACTACGGAAAACAATAGGAAGGTTTCTCAAAGGATTCAAAATGAACTGCCAGCCATTTCACTTCTGAGATTTATCTGAAGAAACCCAAAACACTACTTCGTAAAACTATATGTACCCTATGTTCATTGCAGAATTATTTAGAATAGCCCAGATATGGAAGCAACCCAAGTGCCCATCCACAGATGAGTGGATAATATAATAAAAGTGGTGGTATACTGGAACCTAATGAACAAAATAAACTAACAAGAAAAAAGGAACCAGAGACATGGAAACATGAAACAGACTGACAGCTGTAGGAGGATGTGGGGGGAATGGTGGAAGGAAGGGGAAGAGATTAGTCAAAAAACACGTATGAATGGCCCATGGACATGGACAATGGAGAGGAGACTGATCGTGGACTAGAGGGGTGGGCTGGGCGGAGAGGGTCAAAAGGGAAAAAACTGGGACAACTGTAATAGAATAAGCAATAAAATAAAAGTGGTGGTACATATGTACAATGGAATACTATTCCATAAAAAAAAAAAATGAAATCTACCATTTGTGACAGCTAGGATGAACCTAGAAGGTATTATGCTAAGAGAAATAAGTCAGTCAGAGAAAGACAAACACCATATGATTTCACTTATATGTGGAATCTAAAGAACAATGTAAGTGAACAAACAAAACAGAAACAGACTCAGAGAACAGACTGATGGTCGCCAGGGGGGAGAGGGTTAGGGGCTTGGGTGAAAAAGGTGAAGGATTGAGAAGTACAGATTGGTAGTTACAGAACAGTCATGGGGATGTAAAGTGCAGCCTGGGGGATCTAGTCAGTAATGTTATGCTAACTGTGTATGGTGCCGGTGGGCACTGGAAATATTGTGGGGATCACTCTGTAAAGCCAGCGATTGTCTGCCTCAAACTAATACAAAATAATTGAATGTAAAAGAAATATGTATGCTTTGATGAAATAAAAATAAATTAAACAAAGAAATAAGTATAAATATAAATTAGACCACGTCACTTCGTTTTGGCATCCTTTTGCACTTTAAATAAAATTTAAACTTTTCATGACCCACAGGGCTATAGTAGGCAGGATAATGTCTCCCCCAAAAGGATGTTGCTATAGATTGAATGTTTTTTCCCCTTAAAGTTCATAGGTTAAACCCTAATGCCCAATGTCATGGTATTTGGAGGCGGGACCTTTGGGGTGATAGGTTATGAGGATGTGGTGCTCGTGAATAGGATTAGTGCCCTCATAAAAGATTCCAGAGAACTCCCTGGACCCTTCCACCATGTGAGGACACAGTCCAAAGACGAGAAGACAGGTGTCTATGTGAACCAAGATGTGAAATCTGCCAGGGCCTTGATCTTGAACTTCCCCACCTCCAGCACTGCGAGAAATAAATTAATGTGTTTCCAAGCCACCCAGCCTATGGTATTTTTATTACAACCAGCCCAGATGGAATAAGACAGATGACCATGTCTTAATTCCCCAAACCTGTGAATATGCTACCTTGTGTGGCAAAAGGGACTTTGCAGTGAGGTTAGGTTAAAGATGTTGACGTGGAGAGATTATCCTGGATCTCCTGCCTGGGCCTGATGAATTTACAAGGGAGGCATGAAAGCCAGAGTCAGAGGAGATGCTCCACAGCTGACTTTGAAGGCAGCAGGAAGCTTTGAGCAGTGGCAGTATCGTAGCCAATGAGGTTCATCCAAGGCTCGATTATTGCTAATTGAAGGCAGAAGGAGCCACGAGGAAGGCAGGCAGCTTTCAGAAGCTGACCGAGGCAGGAAAGTGATTCTCCCTTACAGCCTCCAACAGGAATGCAGCCCTGCCAACATTTTGATCTGGGCTCACTGACACCCATTTTAAACTTCTGACTTCCAGAATTAGAGATTGTTTTTAAGCCACTAAATGTGTGGTAATTTGTCACGGACCCTTTACAACCTGGCTACGCCTAACTCCAAACTCTCATTAGTATTGTTCCCTGTTCACTGTGCTTGAGCCACTGTATCTAGTACTTTCCTGCCTCAGGGCCCTTAGCAAGTGCTATTCCCTCGGCTAATCAGGCTTTCCCCCAGATAGCTGGCGCTCTGGGATCGCAGCTCAAATGTCACCTCCACAGAGAAAGCCTCTCTGATCGGTCTGTCAGGAGCAGATGCCCCCTCCCACCCCCATGATCACATTCCTGGTTATTTCTCTCAACGCTCCATCCGAAGTGACTGTGCTCATTTCACGCTTCCTCCTACAGTGTTAGCTCCTTGAGTAGCACAACCTGGCTGCCTTGCTCCTTGCCGTGTTCCCAGCGCCAGAACAGTGTACACAGTAAGTGCTCAAGACATGCTTGCTAAATGAATGAATGTGAATGCGCATCAGTCTGATTAAAGATTAATATTCTAAGTCCGGACGTGGTTAGGAGTAGAATCTTTTTCCTGGATGAGCAAGGCTTGAAACCGAGATAGAGTCATAAAGTATGTATAAAGCACAAGCAGTTTTTAAATATCATCATCTATTTTTCCAAGACCCAGTGGCAAACAAGGGGAAAAATCCCAAGCCAAAAATGCAGGGTTGAACTGGCTCACTACCTGGGGAGGGTGGGTGGAGCCAGGGCGGCCTCATCCATGCAGTACCATTCACGTGGACACGGTGGATGCTGTATTGACATTCCTCCCTGCCCCCGCTATGGATCAGCACATACTCAACAGCTGAGTTTCCCTTTGACAGACACAGTACGGACTGGTACACCCGGGGGTTATTTACCGACAAGAATGGAGGAGGCAGGAGCTAAGACCCATGGCGAACGATGTTATATTCACTCCGCTGACTTTAATGTAGTAACATGGGAACTGACCAGAGGTAGCCTTTTGAGAATTGCTTGCATTCATTATAGAATGATTCAATGCAATAAGGATGACCCAATATATTAATATCCTATCCACTTAAAACAAATCTTTCTATTAATATACCAGTCACATGTGCACATACTCATAGTGGTTGGGGTGAAAGGCCATGATGCCTTAACTTCTAGGTGGCGACTTTGATGGTCCATTTGTCCCCTTCTCACTGCAAATGTTCCTTCTCTTTCTCCTCAGTCACCACCGAGACCGTAACTGGGGATGGATCTGGCACGACCCTCTGGCTGCAGACTGGCCCTTGGGTATTAGGAGAGTGAAGGACTGCACGCCCTCCTGCTGCATCAGCATTAGGGGTCTTACTATGGAGAGCTCCCGTTCTGTGTGTGTTCATTTCCTATGGATGCCATAACGAATTACTACAAACTGGGTAGCTCACAACAACAGAAATGTCTTATTTCACAGTTCTGGAATCTGGGAGTCCAGAACGAAGGTTTCCACGGGCCATGCTCCCCATGAAGGCTCTCACAAAGGATTCTGCTTTGCCTTTTTCTGCTTCAGGTGGCTCTCCATGTTCCCTGGCTCATGGCTGCATAACTCCATTCTCTACCTCTGTCTTCACAGGGTCTTCCTTCCTCTGTATATATCTTGGGGTGCCCTCTCCTCTTCTTATGAGGAGGGCACCAGTCATTAGACTTGGGGCCCACCCTGATCCAGTAGGACCTCATCTTAATTTATTACATCTGGAAACACATTATTTCCAAATAGTCTCTCTCTGAGATTCTGAGCGGGCATGAATTCTGGGTGGACACCAGCCAACCCACCACACTGTGAGCAATTGCTGTCTGTGTGTTGCTGTTCACACTCTCATTCTGATTGGTTAGAGGCTATCTCGCAAGCCCTAATGTGTTGCCCCTTGATCCAATTGCTGCACACCTTGGCTCTTGCTGCCTCACCCACTGGACTGTGGATTTTACGGGAGTGTAAATGAGAGACAACCCTAGTACTTTGACACTGCTAAGACGTGAGCTGGCCCTCACTGGGGTGCAGGCAGCCCTCAGTAGCTGGAATCAATAAGATGCTGTCACCAGAACTGGGGCCTCACTCAGAAACACGTGCGCTCTACAATCTACCCTGACCGACTGAGTTACACTTAGGCTTTATAACCACAAAGCTGAGTCAGTATTATCTGAATCATAGCAAAGAAGGCATATCCTTAAGTATCTGATGATGTTGCAACATGTCCCATCACTGAGGTCATACCTCAGTGTCATGTGTCATGGTCACAAACGCCCATGGCACAGCGTCTTACCAAGCCAGGAGGAGACGGAGCTGCAGCCATTGCTATTATTGCTGTAATTATTGCAGGTTTCTCTTTAGCTTACCATGGCTACGTGCAAGTTTATCCTTCTGCCTGGAACACTGACGGCCCTCTCTTCACCTGGTTAGGTCGTTCTCAGACCTCAGGTTTCAGCTCCAACGATTCTTTTTCCGAGAGGCTGACTGATCCCCTACTTCATCTCTGTGCCTCAACTTCTTCATCTGTGAAATGGGAATAACAGTAGGATCCACTTTATGGCACCACTGAAGGGTAAATGAGCTGATACATGAAAACAGTCCCTAGCAAGTTGAAAGCACCCAATACATTATTTGTGATTAATGCAATCCTTAATGATAATTTTAACAGTAATTATCATGTGTTCATTTTATTAATGCTTGTTAATTTTATTATTCTCTGACTTCTCGGCTGTAGAGAAGGCTGGGTTATGCCCTCTCCATCCCCACAGCCTCGGCTCTCATAACACTGAATTGTACTTTTGCTTTGCTTGTCTGCTAGTCTCTGGGCTGTTTGAGAGCGGAGGGGTGACATTACCTTTATACTCCAGCTCCTGAGGCGGGGCCGGGCACTTTAGGACTCAAGGTCAAAGTGGGATGACACCGTGAGAAGAGAATGGGGTCTGCAGCCCCATGGAAACAAGCGGTCCTCCTTCGAACAGGCCCCCCAGTCCCTCTGGACTTTGGCCTTCCCTCTGAGGAAGAAGAGGATCGGACCTGCCTCAGGGCTGGCCCCCTGAGTGAAGGAGTTATGCTGCCACAGTGAGCACTTTAAGTGAAAACATTCAAAGCATCAGGCTCGGAACTGGTGTCCGTGAATACTATTCAGTAGTAGCTTCCCGAACTGTAAGTTGCCTGAAAGAACGTGACGGATGAGATGTGATGTCCTCGATCCAGGAGCATCAGCCCAAATCCAAGACTCAAAGAAGGCCTAAGCATTCATCTGGAACTAATGTGGGTATGCTGTGATTTAAAAAGAACAAGAAAACAAGGTCTGAGGGAGAAAAGCCCTGAGAGATAATCCACCTCCTGACCCCTTGTACAGAATATTAAGGGCATGTTGGTGGGGTGGGGTGATGGTCCATCTCTACGGATACCTGAACATGCAGCCTTGGGACAGAGCCTCAGTCCTGAGATGCTGACGGTTCTCGGCCTCTTGGTGAGCTGCCACCATCCGGGCATGTAAGCTGAGGGGCATCCTGCAGGGGCTGTATCTAGGATGCTCGGCAGAGCTCCTCATCCTCCTATTACTGGCTTTGACTGCCCCCTAGTGGACATTTCCCCCTCCAGAACCTTGGGTACTAGCTGAATTCTCCAGGGGCAGGGTTAGGGCACTGCCCAAGTCCCTTCCTTGTCTTCTCCTCTTCTCTTCTATGCTCACTCGCATGGCAGTATCACCCCATCTTGTGGCTTTACATGCCACCCATGTACTGACTACTTCCAGTACATGGAAATCACATCTCCAGCCCACACTTCCCCCCCTGAACTCAAGACCTGGAGATCCAACCACCGCTTGTCTTCTCCACTGGAACGTCTGTCTAATAGGCATCTTGATCTGAATGTGTCCCAAACTGAGCTCTTTATTACCTATCCCCCAACCCTGCTGCTATCCCAAGGGTCTCCCCATCCCAGTTATGGCAATAACATCCTTCCAGATGCTCGGGTGAAAAACAGGGTGCCATCCTTGACTCACCTCTTTCTTTCACACCCCGAGTCTAATCTGCTGGCAAATAAATCCTATTGGCTGTACCTTCAAAATATGTCCAGAATCTGACCACCTCTTGCTATCCTGGTCCAGGCCACCATCATTTCTAGACTTGTTGATAGTCTTCTATCTGGTCCTGAGGCATCTGGCCTTGTCCAGTGGTTCTCACTTCAGAGAAAACTCAAAGTCCTCACACTGACCTCCAGGGCCCTATGTGATCTGACTCCTCTAGCAGTCTCCGCATTGCTGCATTCACGCTGCACTGGCACTGTCTGTGCCAGGCATACTCCTGCCTCAGGGCCTTTGCACTTGCTATCCCTCTGCCTAACACATACTTCCTTCAAATAATTGCATGGCTGACTCCTTCACTTCCTTTATATTTTTACTCAAAAGACCCTCTTCCTCAAGATCCCCTAACCCCTTGGCTATCTTATCAAAATTTCAACATCTCTCTGATACTCCATATCTCCCAGCAGTGCTTCATGTATTTTCTTCTTAATATTTATCACTATTCAATACACCATTCATTTCACTCATTTATTCTACACTGGAACATAAGTTCCACAAGGATAGAGTTTCATTTACTTTATCTCCCAAAATATCTCTAGTGCCTAAACAGAGGCTAGTAGTATTTGAAAAATGAATTTATATCCTTCTTTCAACTTATTCTTCCCAATAACCCAATAAGATACTTTAGTGTTGCCCCTATTTTATAGATGAGAAAATTAGGGCACAGAGAAGTTCAATCACTTGCCCAATGCAGCTAGGAAATGAAACCTGGGGGAGTATTATTCTTCCCTTCCCTCACTAAACTTCTGTATTATCATCACCTGAACTCAGACGTCTCATCATTCTAATGAAGCTCATAGGAGTGCCCTTTTGACCCTGCCCAGCGCGGCTCGGTTGGTTGAATATCATCCGCAAAGCAAATGTCGCCAGTTGGATTCCTGGTCAAGGCAAAGGCCTGGGTTGCGGGCACGGTCCCCAGTGGGTGTGTGCGAGAGGCAACGTATCAACGTTTCTCTTGCACATTATCGTTTCTCTCTCTTTCTCCCTTCCTCCCCTCTCTCTAAAATAAATAAATAAAATCTAAGAAAAAAAGAGCGCCTTCTTTGTAGGGTCATTGTGAGGCTTAAGTGTGACCAGCATGTGACAAGCTTGCACCAGTGCCTGGAATGTTGTAAACACTTAAGAAACGGTCACTAGACACATGAAAGTTTCCACAAGGAGTTTGTCCCTGGTTCAGGGAAGGGAGGGGCATTCCAGGCACAGAGCCCAGTCAGGGGCCTGGGAAGTTACTGTTCGCGCGGCTGCCATTCACAGCCACTTCTCTGTGCAGCACGTCTGAGCCACGCCGGCCTGTTCCCAGAAGCAGTTTTCCTGTGACTGCGACACGCCCTGGGCACGCTGCTCGGCTTGCAGTGCAGTTTCTGCATAGAAGCGCCTGCACGTCCGTCAGGCCCCACGCAGAGATGCCCTCCTGTGGGAAGCCATCCTGACCTCCCCAAGTACCTCAAGTTCCTATTACAGTTAAGATGGCAATTTACTTAATGATTTGTTTTCTGTTCTCTTTCTCTCTCTCTCTTTTTTTTTTGTTCATTAAAAAAATTGTAATGATTATTATTTGTTTAACATGAAGCCCCTACCAGGCTGTGAAATCCTTGAGGGCTGGTGTTGTGGGACATGAAATATAGACAATTTGAGGGCCCTCTTTATTTATTTTTAAGATTTTATTTATTTATCTGTAGAAAGAAGGGAAGGGAGGGAGAAAGAGAGGGAGAGAAACATCAATGTGTGGTTGCTTCTCACACGCCCCCAACTGGGGACCTGGCCTGCAACCCAGGCATGTGTCCTGACTGGGAATCAAAACTGTGAACCTTTGGTTTGCAGGCCTGTGCTCAATCTACTGAGCCACACTAGCCAGGGCTGAGGGCCCTTTTTAAAAATATGATATTATAAACACAAAACCGAGCTTGAAAGTGAGTATTAATTAGAATGAAAAAAATCACAACTTTACCTAACAAATGCCACAAACGGTATAAATCCAAAGTAATAACAAACTTATAAATCGACCGCCTAGCACTCCTCTGTAACACTTTGTACTTGTTTTTTGGTTGCATGCTCTTTTATCTCTTATGCAACAATAGCTGTATGGCATTTCCTAAAACAGGACTAAAAAAATAATTCAGTCTTTCCTCCCGCACAATCAGTCAAAATTAGTGTTTTTTTTATTAGTGATCATTTTAATTTTTTTCTTCACCTTTGCAATTCATTATTGGTAAGGTTATTTATACTCTTAGGGGTTGTTGTCAAACTTGGGTTAACCTCTACTGCATTTCTTACATGTGTGAGCCGTAAGATTTGGGAGGATTCTTCCAACGAGTAGCTCTGGCTTCATATATTTCAAACCTATTTCTCCTCCAATACTCTTGTACCACGGGGCCAGGCAAAATACTGATCTCTGCTCTGCACCTTCATGTCACAACACTGGGGAGGACTGCGCAGTGGGCATTAGCAGTATTCCTGGGAGGGAAGCCGTTCTGGGGCACCTGGAAATAACAAGACCAGACATGCAGGGAGATAGGACCTTGTAAGTACATACACCCCCCAGGACCTAACCCAGACCGACCTCCCTTCAGATCCCATCAACGCCTGCGGCCACCTGTCATGAAAAGCAGTGTGACAGGGAGATTCAGTGGAAGGAGACAGTGGTCTGAACCAACTGTGGTTAAAATATCTCATTTTTGCAAATTTTATAAAATTAAATAATCCCATGCAAATAATGTATCTAAAGCTTAAGCATTACGAGGTTCATGGGAAATCCATTCCTGGGGAAGGCGGAGTTGAGTGCCCTAAAGTCCCCCAAGGCCTCGCCTCGGGCATCACACACAGTAGGGCATCTAGGTCACCTCGGATGTCAGTGCTAGAAGGGAGAACATGGGACTGGTGATTTTCACCCCCCCCCCCCACCCCACGGAGCCCTGGCACTTGGCGTCCACAAGCCTTCTACTGGGGTTTCTTGAAACATGGAGCATCTCTGTTTAAATCATAATGATGATCTTAAGAGTCATCATCCAGCCCTGGCTGGTGTGGCTCAGTGGACTGAGTGCCGGCCTGCAAACTGAAAAGTTGCTGGTTCAATTCCCAGTCAGGGCACATGCCTGGATTGTGGGCTAGGTCCCTGGTTGAGGGCATGTGAGAAGCAACCTATCAATGTATCTCTCACACATCAATGTTTCTCTCCCTCTCTTTCTCCCTCCTTTCCCCTCTTTCTAAAGATAAATAAATAAAATCTAATAAAAAAGTCATCATCCAGCCAAACACTCACAGGCATTTTACAACGTGACAGACACTATTGTATGTGCCCAGCCTGTGCACCAAGTCACTTCGCCCCTACAACATGCCTGTGAAGTTGGAGCCATCATTATCCCATTTTTCAGATGAGGAAACTGAGACTTGAAAAGTTTCAGTTTTGTATAATAAGGTTCCATGTAAGAAACCTTTTGAACAAAACTTTTTCTACTTGTAAGTTTTGAAAAAGCCTGAAATGGTTCAAGCCCTTTCTTTAACACCCTGAAAAAGGGAGGTCATTGCTCAGCGCTGCGTACTTATTCGTATCTCCTGGGATATTTCCCTGAGCCAGACACTGCGCCAGGACCCAGGGGTTCGGAGATCAACAAGATAGTCATGGAATGTAACTTTAGTGGGGCCCACAGACCGTAGGTACAAGATCTAAATAAGCAAATAATTCCAGTGAGTGCTGATATAGTGCAGCTGGGGAGATGTGATTGGGTGACGAGGATGGAGGGAGCTAATTCAGAGTGAGAGGTGCCCAGGGAAGTATGGTCTGAGGAGGTGATACGTGACCTGAGGCCTGAATGACATGAAGAAGCCAGCCATGGAACCCTATGGGACAAAGGCGCTCCAGGTGGAGTGAGTCGGCCCGCGGCAGGACTCGGGCGGGAATGCTTTGTAACAGAGCTGCCTCCTGGGCCGGTGCCCCTTCGCCACCTGCAGCCTCTCCAGGTCCTCCCAGAGGTTCCAGCAGTGTCCTGGGCCTTCTCTTAAGCTCGGTCCCTAGGGTGCCCACTCATCCTAGCAGTAACATTGCAGGGGTGAGGGGCGGGGCTGTGGGTCCCAGAAACCCTGTGGCTGAACAGGATCTGAGTGTCCTGGTTCCTGTCTGGCAGGGGGTAAGGAGACATCCTCCCTGCCTTCTCTCCCCGGCTCTGGCCCCAGCCCCCAATCCCCATGACAACTTCAGACACAGTCCTGATCTGAAGGAGGATCTGGAATGCGGAGCACAAAGATCACCGTGAAGAGACCAGAGGAGCTGGTGGACTTGCCGCTCCTTGTGCCTCGTCTCCCATCAGCCTCCCCACTGGCCTGGCCAGGCCCCCATGCCCTGGTTTCCCCAGAGACCCCAAACTGAAGGTTCTGCAGGTCTGCCCTGTCGCTGCACACAGCAAGGCCTGGATGGAGGCCCATCTTCTGCAGCTGCCCCAAAGCAGCTGCCTGCTGGTGGCAGCCGCCCTGACTGCGTCTGCTCTGGAGACAGTGAGTGTACAGGGACTTGGCTGGGGTGGGCAGGAGATTCAGACCCCTCCACCCTTAGAGGCTGTTTCCCCAACCAGCACTCACCCTGATGGGCTGGGACCTCTTGAGTTGGGGGAGGCTGGGAAGCCCTGTGCCCATTTTTGCCTGGCACCAAGTCTACCCAAACCCCTCTGGAAGACTAGAGCTCAATGTCACCCAGAAGCAGGGGTCTGGGCATGGATGGGAGAGCCCTCAGATGTGGCAGCGGAAACCCTACGTTCACAACTCACTCTTCCTCTTCCTGCATTGCTGCCACTGAGATCATTGTTTCAACTCACTAGGTCTCAGTTTCTTCAGCAGTAAAATGGAATCATAGCAGACCCTGGCCCCTTAAGAGAATTTATTGTGCATGTAAGATGAGATGAGCCATGCAAGACACACAACCTGGCACGTTGAAGGTGCTCAGTTCACTCACTACGCCTCGTCCCCCACACAGGCGTGTTGCTCCCTGACAGCTGCAGTGAAGTCAGGGTTTTGCTTTTTTTTTTACAATTAAAAAATTTTATTTATTATTTTTTAAGAAAGGGGAAGAGAGGGAGAGAAACACCAATGTGTGGTTGCCTCCTATGTGCTCCCAACTGGGGACCTGGCCTGCAACCCAAGTATGTGCCCCGACTGGGAATCAAACGGACGACTTGCAGGCTGGCACTCAATCCACTGAGCCGCAGCAGCCAGGGCTACATCAGGGTTCTTCCAGCAAGGAGAGGGGCAGGCTGTTGCGTGGGCAGGTGCCGGGGTCTGTCTACCCCACCCGTAAGTAGGGCAGCAGAAGCAGCTGACACCGCTGGAACTCTCATCAAGTGCCAGGCACCGCCTTACGCACCGAACACGTGCATGTCCAGAATCCCCAAATACAAAAAGCTGTGAAAACCAAAATTTGTTCTTAACTGATTTGCTTACCGGCAACACCTGACCGGAACTGACAGGAGGCTTTATTTGTCCTGCTTAGGGTAAATGTTCTTACAGGGGCTCTGAAAATGTGACCGTGGAGGCTGCAACACAGTGCACTGCACAGGCTGCAGCAAAAGTATTAACAGGGTCTCAGTGGCTCATGTGGAAGTTAATACAATAATTAATAAATAAGAGGTCCTGGCTGGTGTGGCTCAGTGGATTGAGTGCGGGCTGCAAACCAAAGGGTCGCCAGTTCAATTCCCAGTCAGGGCACATGCCTGGGGTGCAGGCCAGGTCCCCACTACCAGGCGCTGGAGAGGCAACCACACATTGATGTTTCTCTCCCTCTCTTTATCCTTCTCCTCTCCTCTCTCCAGAAATGAATAAATAAAATAAAAAAAAACGTTTAAAAAAGAAAAAATAAATGGGAGATATATATTTGGAAAAAAATAACAATACAAGAACGAACTGTTTCCTGTACTCACAACTGTAAACCTGCTTCTGCCTCACCCTGTATACACATCATATTATCTTTCTAACATCTGGAATGTTCTGAAACACCTAGGGTTTTTGAATAAGAGATGGAGGGTGTGAATTAAATTATTCAATCCTCACAAAAATTCGGAGATTGCTTGCGCATCCCCATGTTACCAATGAGGAAGCCGAGGCTCAGAGTGGATGAGGACCTTACTTTGGGTCACGCACCGGACAGGAGGCAGAGCCAGGCTTGGAACGAGGCGCGTGGCTTCAGGGTCCGTGCTTTTTCGTTGCAGCCGACCTGGTGGCCCTCTGTGGACAGACGTGGCAGGGGGACCGGCTGCTGCTGCGCTCGCACTCCGCATCACGCAGGTTCTACTTCGTGGCCGCCCCGGACACACCAACTGCTGGCTCTGGGTGCAGCCGGCGACCCCTAGCGACAGGACCCGCTTCCAGTTCTGCTTCTTCCTGGTCTACAGCCTGATCCCAGCTTCTCGGGCATCCCCAGCGCCCAAAGCCAACGCGTCCGCCCAGCGTCGGGGGATGCGTGCGCCCCAGGCTCCTACTTGCAGTTCTATGAGAGTCCGCCGGAAGCTGCCCGACCCCTGAGCGCTTCTGTGTATGGCCTGACTATCCCTGTCTGGGTGGAACTTCCTGGGCCTGCGCCTGGTCACCAGAGATCGCCAGCCCCACGTGGACTTCGTGGGTGAAGTCACCTCTTTTCGGTTTGGTGGGTTAGGGCTGTTGGTGAGGACCAGGGTCTCCAAGAGGAGCAGGGCGCCCAGGGGTGGGGGGGCACGGGCAACTGTGGGGCTGGGGCCACCACCAATGCTGCACTGGGGGCCCTAGAAAATGAAGGGGACTGGCTCCTAAGAGAGGGAAGGAGGTGGTGAGTGGTGGCAGCGTCAGGGGTGGTCATAGTAAGGGCCATTCCAGACCGAGAGAGCCAACCCCATAAAAATCTAGTTTCCATGGCTGTGCACACACACTCCTACACACAACCCACACTCTAACACCCACCCCTTACACACACTGTACATGTACACAAGTCACACCTCATACACCTGTACTCCCAACTCCACACCTTGCACAGCCACACTGCAGTGCACAGCCCATGAGCCAAACACGTGCTCTTTACATCACACATGCGGCACCCCCTTGCACACTTCCACATAACTCACATACCCGCATGTTCACACTCTGTGTCCTCTGGCTGGGTCAGCCCTTCAGAGTCCTAGTTAGGACTGTCATAATTGTGAGTGACAGGACCCCACTCAGGCAGGGAGAGGGAAATCATATTAATTCCAGTCATTCACTGAGCCTTTGGCCCTTTGCGTGCCAGATCCCACCCGCCCCTCTCAGCGGCTCTGCTGTGCCACGGTTCTTATCCCTGTATGTCTAGATGGGAGACAGCCTCGGGGAGGTCAAGTCCAGTGCCCCCGGCCTCCCTGCGCACGGGAGAAGCGGCAGGATTTTCGCTGTTGGAGTGTGTCCTCTCTCTCAAATAGAGTTCAGGGCTTTAGCACCGACTGGTTCCCCCAGGACCAGAGACATAACTCACTGATGTCACAGCCAATGTCACAGAAAAGGCTGTGTCCAGGGACGGCGAGCAGGTGATCTGCTAAAGTCTGGAAGATTCCAAAACCACGGAGAAGCTCTATTGCCACCTGGGGCTAAGAATCTAGACTGGAAGATTAAATGTGGGACTATGCACACTTCAAGACAAGAACACGGGGGCCCTGAGAGCCAACGCCGGTTCCCCAAGAACTAGCCGCTGGCAGGCAAGGTCCCGGACAGCCAGCCCTGTGACACTGAGACCTGTGACACTGAGATGGGGCCGGGCACTCTCACGCCGTCTCCTGTGTCTCTTTAGTCGAGTCCCACGGTACTTCTTTCCTGCAATTTTGCACCGATGGTCTGAATATTGGATTTTTAGATTCTCTCTCTTTCCCATGAGATTTTCTGGCTCTAGAAGGAACTACATGAACTTTGTACCCTAAATCCTTGGGGCCATGAGCCTTGGTGACTAGAGTCCCTTACTGGCTCCTGTAGGTTCCTATAATTTTTTAAAATTATTTATTTATTTTAGAGAGAAGGGAGAGAGAGAAAGAGAAATATTGATTTGTTGTTCCACTTATTTATACATTCATTGGTTCATTTTTTTAGTTTTATTTTTAATTTTTTTAATTTTTATTTTATTGATTATGCCATTACAGTTGTTCTATTCCCCCCCTTCATTCCCCTCCACCCTGCACCCTCCACCCCCACCATTCCTTTAGTTTATGATCATGTGTCTCAAGTTCTTTAGATTCTATATTTCCCATACTATTCTTGTCCTCCCCCTTTTCTATTTTCTACCTACCGTCTATGCTACTTATTTTCTGTACCTTCTCCCCCCTTCTCCTCCCACTCCCCTGTTGCTAACCCTCCATGAGATCTTCATTTCTATGTTTCCACTCCTGATCTAGCTGTCCTTTTAGTTTGCTTTTGTTTTAGGTTGTTAATAACTGTGAGTTTGCTGTCCTTTCACTGTTCATCTTTTTTATCTTCTTTTTCTTAGATAAGTCCCTTTAACATTTCATATAATAAGGGCTTGATGATGATGAACTCCTTGAATTTGATCTTATCTGAGAAGCACTTTATCTGTCCTTCCATTCTAAAAGAAAGTTTTGCTGGATAGAGTAGTCTTGGTTGTAGGTCTTTGGATTTCATGACTTGGAATACCTCTTTCCAGTCCCTTCTTGCCTGTAAGGTCTCTTTTGAGAAATCTGCTGACAGTCTGATGGGAACTCCTTTGTAGGTGACTGTCCCCTTCTCTCTTGCTGCTTCTAGGATTCTCTCCTTCATTTTAATCTTGGCTAATGTAATTATGATGTGCCTTGGTGTGTTTCTTCTTGGGTCCAACTTCTTTGGGACTCTCTGAGCTTCCTGGATTTCCCGGAAGTGGAAGTCTATTTCCTTTGCCAGATTGGGGAAGTTCTCCTTTATTATTTGTTCAAATAAGTTTTCCACTTGTGGCTGTTCCTTTCCCCCTTCTGGTACCCCTATAATTCGGATGTTGGAGTGTTTAAAGATGTCCTGGAGGTTCCTAAGCCTCTCCTCATTTTTTTGAATTCTTGTTTCTTCATATTTTTCTGTTTGGTCATTTTTTCCTTCCTTCTGGTTCACTCTCTTGATTTGAGTCCCAGTTTTCTTTTCATCACTATTGGTTTCCTGTGCATTTCCCTTCATTTCAATTAGTTTAGCCTTCATATGTTCCTCTAATTTGTGACTAAAATCAACCAGTTCTGTGAGCATCCTGATCACCAGTGTTTTGAACTGTGCATCTGAAAGTTTTGCTATTTCTTCGTCGCTTAGAGTTATGGGCTCTGGGGCTTTGAGATCTTCTTGAGCCATTTTTGGTCTGTTTGGGCCCATTAAGTATGAGGAGCGGAGCCTTAGGGGCAGGGCGGGGCCAGGCCACCAGGGTGGGGTCGCTGGGTTGTGACGCTGTATGTGAGGGCGGGGTCAGAGAGAGGAAATGGCGGCCCTCTCTGCTGCCTCCCGTCACTGGGACCCACTCGGTCCAGTCTCACCGCCCACTCCCTCGCTGTTCTATCTGCGCAGGAATGCACCACCACAGTCAACCTGCCGCCCTGTGCCCTCGCTGGGTCCACTGGTCGCTCACTGGGTCGCTCACTGGGTCCGCTCTTTGCAACCCCATGCCTGGGATCTGCTCGCCTGAGTCCGTCTGACCGAGTTTTCCTGTGCAACCCCGCTCTGCCAGCTGCTGGTTTCGCCCCTTACCAGTCAGGCTGAAGAATTTGTTGTTAACGAACTTCCAAAAAGTTCAATTTTCCGTGTTCTGCCTGTGTTTTCTGTTGCTAATATTTTGTTGTCTCTAAACTTGGTTGTGTGAGAAAGCACGGTGTCTCCACCTATGCCTCCATCTTGGCAGAAGTCCTGGATTCATTTTTATTTGTGCCCTGACTGGGGATTGAACCCACATCCTCGGTGTATCGTGACAATGCTCTAACCACCCGAGCTACCTGGCCAGGGCTCCTATGATGTTGTTTTGCAAATAGCTCTCACTAGCTGATTAGAAATCAGCCCCGCCCTCTCTCTGCCCCTCTCCCCCTTCCTCCCTCCACTTCTCCCTGTGGCCTTCCTCTCTGGAGGTGCAGCTGTCAGCCAAGGAGCCCAAGCATGCTGCTGCGGCTGCTGTGTCTGGCAGGACTGGGCTCCAAAGTGAAGGCGGCAGTGGTGAAGCCCTGTCACAACTCCGGCTTCCTCCGATCAGTTTTGTCATTTGAATGAAGGTCCATCTCACATCCTTGGGCTGCGTGCACAGTCTCACTTGCTCACACCTGCAGGCACACCCTGCCTGGCCCACACACACTGTCCTGTTTACAGTCGCATGTGACTCCCCACACTACTGTTGGTTTTCTCTCTCAGGGACTTCCACTCTCACACCTAAACACCTTCTATATATTAGATTGTTCATTTTCATTTGCAAATGAAAGAAACCCAACTCAAGTTGGCTTATGCCAAAGGAGAACTTTGGGGGTCTCCTGTAACTGGGGTGTGTGGTTCAGGTACAGCTGGATCCAGTAGTCCGAGTAATGTCACCTGGGCTTTGTCTCTTTGCTCTCTCCCTCTCTCTCTGCACTGTGTGGGTCTATTTGGTTCCATCTCAGGCAGCTCCTCTTTCTACTTGGCAACAAGGGGAGCCTGCAGCCCCACGTCCACAGTCACCCTTACAGCTCTAACCTCAATGAAATAGAGAGTAAGCACCTTTTTCATGGTTCTAGCAGAAGTCCTGGGGTCAAGTCTGATTTGTCCTGGCCAGGAGAGGGAACGCTCTGGTTCCCATGCCCACCCCTGAGCACTGGTGTTGGGCAGTCCCACCTGAGCCAGCTTTGCTGCACTGAAGGGGATGCTGGGCCAGCCGACCAGTCTGCCACCCCTTGCACTGAGTCGTGCAACTCTTTCACCTGTGTTTACATTAATTCATTTAACAAATATAAATTGAGCCCCTGCAGTGTGCCAGGTGCTGTTCTGGGCTCCCGGGATCCAGCAATGAACAAAAGGGAAGTCCTTGCCCTCTCCGAGCTGACGCTTTGGTGGGGGAGACAGGCCGAAAACAAATAATCAAGTAAATCCTCATTCTGCTTAGGGGGGTGTGCCGCAGAGGACCTCGAGTCGGGAGCAGGAGGGTGGGAGTGCTGGGGGAGGGTGGTGTGCCGTTCCCACAGGGAGGCTGGGAAGGCCTACTGAGTGGAGACCCACAGGGAGCCATGCCAGTACTTGGGGAAGAGAATGCCAGGCAGAGCTGGTGGCAGGGGCAGCGCCAGGAGCAAGGATTTGCTTGGAAGTGTTCGGGTTCACTGGGATACTGCAGGCCGCATGCATACACACAGGGGGACACACGGTCACACCCACTGTGCCACAGTGTCTATGAGCAGGGACCGAGTTCCTATTCTGCTTCTTAGATGTAAGCTGTGTGGCCTTGGTCAAGTGGCCAGGCCCCCCCCCCCATACCTCAGTTTTCTCATCTCCAATAGGGTTACTTTGAGAACTTACTGAGCTGGGAGGTCAATGAAGGAAGTTTTTAGAACCATGCCCAGAAAGGAATAGGAACTCAATAAATGTTAGCCACCACCATCATCATTGTCAAAATCATAGTTGTGCACCTGTCTCCCATCACCATCAATATCATTGTGGTTATGCACCTGTCTCCCATCACCATCAATATCGTCATTGTGGTTGTGCACCTGTCTCCCATCACCATCAATATCATCATTGTGGTTGTGCACTTGTCTCCCATCACCATCAATATCATCATCGTGGTTATGCACCTGTGTCCCATCACCATCAATGGCAACATCGTGGTTATGCACCTGTCTCCCATCACCGTCAATGCAGCATTGTGGTTATGCACCTGTGTCCCATCACCATCAATGGCATCATCATGGTTGTGCACCTGTCTCCCATGAAATGCTCTTTCCTACTCTCCTCTGCATGTGCATGGAAACAGCTTCCTCCTCACACCTCCCACATCCCCTCACTAAAGGGCCACACATCCTGCTTGTTACCGGCTGGCCCAAGGTCCTTATAACATGCTTCCCCTTTTGGTCCCAGGTTCCTGTGGTCCCTACTTCCGATGTCAGAATGGCAGGTGCATCTCCCCGAGCCTGGTGTGCGATCTCTGGGGCATGGACAACTGTGGCGACGGCAGTGACCAGGCTTCCTGGCCACCAGCCAACTGTGCAGGTCAGTGATGGGTGCAGCCTGGGCCCTGCTGAGAAGCTAGAAAGGAAGGTGGGCCCCAGCTCCCCTTCCCCAGGGCCCTTCCCCAGGGAGCAGGGGGCGGAGGCAGGGGCATGGCAGGAGAGAGCAAGGGGAAGCATAGCAGTGGGGAACTGCGTTAGACCAGAGTACCGAGGATGGGGGCAGTTAGAGCCAGGATGACGCTAGGGATGGTCTGATCCAGTTGCTTTCAAATGGTATTTTAGGGGCGGAAGCTCCTCCTAAGTGGGACTTTGCACAGAGGCCCAAGACATCGAAAGCAGAGATGCTCTATTTAAGTGGACGTGGGGGGCCCCAGGTCCCACTGAGGAACCTGACTTGGACTCTTAAGACTTAACTTTGAAAACCACTGATCCAGTCTGACTCCCATATATTACAGATGGGGAAACTGAGGCTCAAGGTCATGGAGTCAGTGAGTGACATAATCAGGAGTGACCTCTGAGTGCAGAGAGACCAGGTCACCCAGGAATATCCTTCTTGGGAATCTGGAGATGCCCCTTCCCCAGCAGGGCCGGCATATACTGTTGAAGAGGTTGTTTGCTGAAAACAGCACCAGGCTGAGGGGCGAAGTCCAGCCTCCCGGGACCCCACACTCACCTCCCATGCCACTCCTCAGTCTCCTTTGCGGGTTCCTGCTCGTCTCCCTGTCGCTCTGCGCTTTGTGCCATGAGGCCCGGCCCCACACCCACTCCTCCTCCACTCTGCACACCCATTTCCTCAGTGGTCTCCTTCATGACGCATCGCCAGCTGGAGTCGTCTTTGAACTCCGTTACATAACCACCTCCCTGCTCATCTCCATGTGGACGTGTCGGCGGCGTCTCAGACCCAGCTCGGCCCTAAACTGAACTCGGGGCCACAGCCCTCCATGTCCAGCTCCTCACCCACTTCCCCTTCCCACCCAAACTGTGGGGTGACCCTTCATTCCTTTCTGCAAGCCCATAACCGAGCCACTGACATCGATCTGTTTGATGTTTTTCTTGTGGTCAGGCTGCAGTTGGGGCTCATTAGGAGGAAGACCACGGAGGGAAAGTGTCATTTTTCACCACATCACATCACGGGGACATACCCCCAGCCTGACTCATGGCTGTCACTGCTGGCTTTGACCGCCTGGCTGAGGCCGTGTTTGTCAGCTTTCTCCACTGTTCCTTTCTGCCTCCTCTCCATCCTTGCTCTCTGGGAGGGAGTCACTCTGTGCAGCCCACAGGTGAGTGGGGAGTTACGCTCCCTGGCCGGAGGAGCCACCTTAGACACGAAGTCAGATCAGGTCACTCCCACGCTCAGAACCCTCCACGCTCCTCACTCCAAGACAAAGCAAAGCCTCCCAGGGGCCCACAGGCCCTTGCGACCTGCTGCCAGCCCCTCCCAGCTGCCTTCTCGGGCTCTCGGCTCCTCTGGTCTCACGCCAGCTCTCTCCCCTGCCTGGAAGGTGCCTCCCCAGAGATGTTCACGCTCATTCCTTTGCCTCCTAGGGGTCTCTGCTTAACTCTCACTCTTAGTGAGCTCCTTCCCGATCCCATTATACATTAAAAACAACAACAACAAACCAACCCTGTGTCCAGGTATGGGTAAATGGATAAACAAAATGTGATGCCGCCACACAATGCAATTTTATTCAGCCTTAAAAAGGCAGAAAATTTGGACACATGCTACAGCATGAGTGGAACCTTGAAGACATTCCGTAAGTGACATAAGCTAGCCAGAAAAGGATCAGTGCTGAATGAGTCCACTTACAAGAATCTGACGACCTAGAGTCATTGGGTTCATAGACACAGGAAGTAGAATGGCGGTTGCTAGGGGCTGGGGGCAGAGAGAACGCCGAGTGAGTGTTTAAAGGGGACAGGGTTTCAGCGTTGTGAGCTGAAGGAGTCGGGTGTGCCTAATGCTGCGGAACTGTGCATTTAAACACGGGCACTGGCTTGTTGCGGTACATTTCTCAACAATAAAATAAAAAGAAACCCTGCCCCCAGCCAGCAGGCCCTGTCCCCTTTCCCTGCTTAATTTTTTCTCCATGTGACATGATATGATTCCCATGTATTCTCACACTTCTACGTCTCCAGTTCCACGAAGACCTTTTTGTCTATTCTGCTCCCCGGCGCAGCCCCGGGTCCCTACGGCAATGCCTGGGGCACAGTAGATGCCAGAGAAATATGAGTCAGTGAGTGGAAGGACGAACCCTCTATGCCTCACCTTCCTTATCTGTAAAATGCAGGTGCTAAGCCTAACTTTTCTGAGTTGTTCTAAGCTTTAAGTGAAATAGGGTAGGCGAAGGGCTTAGCATAGAAAACACTCAATATGAGCACATTCTCCCTCCAGAGAAGCAGTTCCATCCATCACTCCCGGGCCTTGGGACTGGACTTCATGAGTTTAAGCCCACCTACCCCGACGCTGTCACTTCCAGCTGTGGGACCTGGGCAAGTGACTTGACCCCACTTGCCTGATCTATGAAATGGAAACACAAATTGTAAGACTCTGAGAGGTTTGGGGAGGCTTAAAGGAGACATAGTCATGCCTTAAAGGGGCCGTTCTCAGTGTTAGCTCTGCTATTTCCCATTGCAGGTCCTTCTCAGATGCCCAGCCAGAAGCAGAAGGGAAGTACGGATGACACCTCCAAGCCCCCAAGAGTCCCCCTCAGCTCTCAGGTCGGCAGGCCCCCTTGGGCTTGTGGCCGGGAGCAGCCCCCCAGCAGGCTGGGGCCCTGCGAAACAGGGTGCAGCTCTGGAAGGTAGATGGCTCTCCTTACCACCTGCACCCACTCCTCTCATGAAGATCACTGCGCCCTCTGCAGGTGATGGGGACGGGGCAGCAGGCCCAGGCTGAGGCCTGAGTGGACTCTCCCTTTCCTTTCGTAGGTCCGTGCTGGCCTCCTCACTGGCCTCACCTGGTGCTGCTGCTCTGCCTGCTGGCTGGCCTGGTGCCCTGGTGCCCATGGCTTCTGCCTTAGCTGCACTACTTGTCGCGCATGTCCTGGCCAGGTGGCCCCAGGGGGGCTGCAGCCGAGTAGGCCAGCCTTCCAGGGTCAGGGAGGCCATCCACAGAGAGGCTGCGACTTCAGAGGAAGGAGAGTGGGCTCTAGTGTCGGACAGACTCTGGTTTCTGTCCCCATCCCCTAGCAGGCTGTCTGATCCTGGGCAGGTCACATAACCCCCTGAGAGTCAGTCTGCTTCTCTGGAAAATGGGCCGATTTCTGCCTCACAGGGCTATGGGGAAGGCCACAGGGGGTACGTGGCCCTGTAGCTCCTGGTGGCCGGGATTCTGCCGGACCAGCGACGGCCAGGATCTCCATGCCCAGAGTGGGGAGCAGGGGTCCTGCTTACCCGAAACTGCCTTGATTCACTCCCAGACCTCACCTGCCCGGCTTTGCCTCACTGGCCCCCCCCACCAGGCTCCAGAGTCAAGCCCTAGTCAAAGACACAGGGGACCGCCCTGGCGGGGATAGCACCGTTTATTAAGAAAAGATCAAGACAAAGACCACAGGAGGGTCCCTTGTAGGACACAGGTCAAGTGTCCCACCCCAACATCTGGGGGACTGCTGGTGAGAAGGGCACTTGCCCCCATTTGGGCCCTCAGGTTCCCAATGATGGGACAAGGCTGTTATGGCCCCTTCCTGTCCCTCCATTATGAGTCTTAGCTTCCCCCACCCAAGGCACTAGTTCTTTCCAACCACCGATGCCTCCTCCCCCCATATCCCTTGGGCCTTCACTTCCAGGTCAGTAGGGGGATGTGGCCTGGGTGGGCAGGGAGACCCTCTCAGTGCTGGGCTCTGCCTGTAGCAGCTCCTGGTAAGAGCTGGGATGGACTTTTCCTTGTAGCCCCTGAGGGCAGGTGCCCCGGGCTAGGTATTGGGGTGGGGGTGCAGACCAGCTGGCCAGGCGGAGGTGAAGGTGGAGGGGGGTGGGGACATGGGCTAACTGGGGTGGGGCTGCCTGTCCAGGGTGAGCTGCCTTTTGCTCCACAGTTGGCACTAAAGAGCTTTTGCTACCCAGAGGAGGGTGGCAAAGCCCACTGCGACGCCCTGTGCTCCCAGTGGCTGGTGCGGACCCAGGCTGTACGCCGAGACTGGCTCTTGTAGGGACAAGCGCTGCCCAGGGCTGCAGGAACGGGCGGTGGCCCAGTGTTGCCATGGGGGCTCTCCTGAGCCCACTCAGCCACCTTGCCTGCCCCTCTGAGGCACCTGCTCCCATCCACCTGTTCTGTTTCCCAGCCTGTGGCTTTGCCCAGGTGTTCGTGTGGGGGGGTGACGTGTCCACCCTCCAGTCCAGCCCAGGGCAGTAGCAGCAAAGCGTGGCATCGCCTCAGTTTCTTACAAAATAGTCATAATAATAATATTAATAATGGACTCGACATTGTGGGGCTGGGACGCTGCCCAGCAGTCCTTGTGGGGCCGGCGGCTGCCTACGAGGGGCAGGGGCGCGTGTTGGCTCCTGCCTGGGCGCCGTGCTGCAGATCCAGCGGCTGGGGAGGAGGGCCACCAGGTGGGGCAGAGTGCAGCACCAGGTTCCTGAGACAGCCCGTGACGCCTGAGGAGAACCTGCCCCCGGTCAGCTTGGCGACGTTGGGGGCTCCGCCTGCGGGGAGGGGAGAGGACACGACCGTCAGCTCCAGGGGCCCCGGAGGAGACGAAGGCACATGCTGGAGGTCTGCAGGGGCCCCATTCCTGCACGGAGGCCTGAGCCCAGGACTCACCGATGTAGACGCTGGCCTTGGTGTTGACTGCTACGTTCCGGCCTGGGGATTGGCCGCTGACCAGCTCCTCCCCGTCCACCTGGATGGAGCCTCTCCGGCCCTCTCTGTGGTGGGTAGAACTGGGTCAGGCCCTACACCTCTGGTCCCTGACCCAAGAAGAGTCCCCTCCATTTCCAACAAGACTCCAGAGAAGTCTGCTCCGAGTTCCTTCCTTCCCCGCTGGGTGAGAGAGATCGCCCCCCCCCGACCCCTCCCTGACCCCCACCCCGACCCAGCCACACACACAGCTTCCTAGCACCCTCCCAGGCTTTATCCATCCCCAGGGAGTGTACCTGCCCGCCCATGACCGTGGAGTGATGCCCCTGCCTTGGAAGCCTGTGCCTGGCTCTCCCCGACACAGGCTGCGAGCTGTCTCCCCAGAGCCCAGTGCCTGCCTCCCCGAGCATGGTGGGGGCCTGCACCCTGATGCCCAGGTGGGCTCCCTTACCGCAGCGCCGTCACCCGATGCCACTCGCCGTCATTGATGGGATCCTCAGAGATGAGGCGGGCCTCCCCACTGCCCAGCTGGTAGCTGCAGTCACACAGGCCCAGGAAGGTGTGAGGTGGGGCAGGACGGGAGCGGGGTGAGGGGGGTGACGGGGGCCAGGGAAGGGAGGGGACCCACCTGAAGACAAGGTGCCCATCCTGAAGTCCAAGACTGATGAAGTCCTTCCCTTGGCTGGCCTTTCCCATCTCCTGGAAGGGAGCACAGGGTCTCTGGGGTCCCCAGCCTGGACTATGACCCCCACTGGTTGTGGCCTCTGCCTTTCTCTCTCCCACCGCCCTGGCCACCAGAGGCCTGGGAATACTAAGATCCTGGGCCAGATGCCCACACTCACCATGCCCTGCCAGAGCAGGAGGCCGCTGGCTGTGCGGGTCCGAACTTCCAGCTGGATGGTCTCCGGCACCTCCGGCAGGCTGGGGGTGTGGAGTGGGCAGCAGGTGAGGGGGCAGAAGTCCCAGATTCCCATTCTCCTCTCTGCAACCTGTCCCCTCCCCAGGCCCACCAGCTCTCCCAATGCCCATCTCACCTCCTGGAGAAGACGTGGCCGGGGAGGGCTAGGAAGCCATCATCATGGAAATAGGCTCCGTACTGTCCTGGGGCATCTGTGGGAGAAAAGGGGGATAAGAGACAGCTGCCCACCTGCTCGGAGTATCCATCTGACTTCAGCTCCCCCCTCCCCACCTCCACCAGACACATACAACCAGAGGGCTCTGGACCTGCAGCCCCTGGAGACCCAGGGGGCCGTGAACTTGGATAGGAAAACACTACAACCCTCTGTTCACTCACATCCCACTGAAATCTAGCAGCTCCTTTAATTATGCATGTGGGCAGTGCACTAAAGAAGCAGCAGCAGGACGTGTGACCTCCTCACTGGAAGGTTTCCTTTACGGGTCACAGTGGGTGCAGGCAGCTCAAAACACTGTTCCCGCTCATTGACACTGGGCTGGCAGTGAGCGCCCGCACGGAATCATCTTACTCAATGTGGTGATAAGGGAGTGCATAGATTGCAGTTGAGAGAATTTAAAATATTTTGAGTCTATTTCAGTATAATTGGTTTCCTGTGCATTGTTAAAAAACAGTCAGTAGGTCTGGGGAAGGTGAACAACCATCCCTATTTGCTAAGAAGTCCTTGTCCTGGTTTTAGCTGTGAAAGTTCCACATCCCAAAACACCCGTAGCCCTGAGGAAACTGGGACAGTTGATCACCTAAGTCCGCGGCACCTGAAAGGTTCAAGAACCTCTGTGTTCCTTCCATCTCCCAGATGGGGGACGGTGAGCGGCTTGCCCAGGAAGTGGGACGCCTGGATGAGAGCCTGGACCTTCCGGCTCCAACGTCCACACTGGGTGTGGCCCCAACGCCCCTGCCCTGCCCGCTCAGTCCCACCCCAGAGGCCAGCACTGGCCCAGGTGGGCCCGGCAGCCACAAGGGTCGAGGACACTTTGCTGCCTTCCACCAAATGATGTGCTGAGCACCGTGTGAGGAGTTTCACATCTGCCTATAAATATCATTTCATTTAACTGGATCCTTACAGTAATCCTATAACTTGTGTATAATATTAACAAAAACTAACATAATATACCCACACTGAACCAGAAATTGTTCTAAGCATTTTAAATATATTAAATAATTTCACTGTCACATACAATTTTATCCGAGGCCATGTGGAAGGATGTTACTTGTCTCCATTGTATGCATAAAGAAACTGAGGCACAGAGAGGTTAAGTGACTCGCTCAAAGTGACACAGCTACCAAGTGGCAGGGCTAGGACTTGAAGCCGGGCAGGCTGGCTTCAGAGTCCATGCTCCCATCCCCTACACCACTGGCTCTCCTATTACATTTGTGATCAAGATAATATCCATATAAAGCAGTTAGCTCAGTGCCTGTGAGTGTTCAATGAACATTCATTTTTTAATTATTCTCAGCGCTTTGAAATGGACTGTGGAATCCCTGAGAAGGAGGGTCCTGCCTTATTCTTCTTGCAGTCACTGCTCCTGGGACAAGGATGGGCACATGATAGACAGCTGCGGGCAGAATGCATCAATACGGAGGAAGAACAGGTCAGAGTGGTATATGGGCCTGCCCAAGGTCACCTAGCCAGTGAGTACATGGTAGGGCCCAGCTCCGTGTGGCTTTGCTCTTCTTTATTCTCTCTACATGTGCCCAGTGAGCCTCTCACACGGGCCCGTTCTGCTTAGAGACCAGAATTAAGGGCGTAGGGTAACTGGACAAGGGGGCTGAGAGACCTGCCGCCAGGGGGAGACAAAGCCGCTCAGCTGCTCTGGCTGGCCACGGCAAATACCTACCGTTGCCCCCGCTGCCTTCAAGATGCCAATCGGACTCCGCTGCCCCATGTCCAGAGCCTATGGAGAAAGGCAGGGTCCAGTCAGTGGGCACAGACAGTCGTGGGTACTCTGTCCAGCCCCAGGGCCCCAAAAGGGAGGTGGAGAGAAGCCAGGGCAGTTACCTTGTTGGCAACGTGGGCCAGAGAAGCCGGGGGGACAGAGGCAGTGGGTGCCCTGGCAGGTGCCCCCGTGGAGACAGGGCTCACGGAGCTGGCAGGGGTTCTCCTCATGCTCGCAGAGGTCCCCTGTGGCCGTGGCAGAGGCGAGTGAGCACGGGCTGAAGTTGCTGCAGACCACCCTGCCCCCTACCCCCTCCAGGACCCAGGCAGGCCCGCGCACCTTTGAAGCCGTCCCGACACAGGCACTGAAACTCATACTCGCCGGCAGGAAAGCATGTGGCGCCGTTCTGGCAGGGCTGGCCCTCGCACGGGGAGCTGTCGTAGCACTGCCCGATGCCCCGACTGCCCAGGAAGCTGTAGGTGAGGTCTAGCCGCTTCCCATTCACTGACACCTGTGGGCACAGGGACATTGAAGGACTCAAGGGACGCAGGAGGCAGGGGCATCGCTGGTCCGGCACAGAGAGGAGTGCAGTAGAGGTAGCTGGGAACCCAAGTTGGAACTTGAGTGGTAACATGGGGCTCTGGGGGGGGGTGCAGAAGGAACAGGAATGCCTGCCTACTGTGCGCCGCCAACTGCATCAGCACAGTCAGTCTGCAGTACAACCCTTCAAGTTAGGTGCACTGATCCCCATTTTACAGAGGAGGAAACTGAGGTGAAGATCCTGGTCCTGAGGGCCTTCAGTGAGCTTCAGGTGGGGGGCCTGGTCTTCACCCCTCCCCTCCCAGCTGACCTCTGGAAGCTGCTCCTCACCTCGCCTACGCAGCCACGGAAGGGAGTGCTCATGTTGGTGGCCGGGGACAGCTGCACGGAGGGCTCCACGCCACCGAGGTAGAGGAGGGTGTGCAGGTTGAGGCCTTGGCTCTTGCCAGGTGAGGAGCGCAGTACAGGGCGTCCGCCATTCACCCGCAGGCTGCCGTCCTTGTTGAGGCGCTCGGCAGACACACGGTGCCAGCGGCCCAGGGCCAGCGGCTCTGTGCTCCGCAGAACAGCCAGCCCTAGGGAGGACGCCAAGGAGGGTGGGCACATGGGTGACCCCCCGGCCTGCCCCACCCCACACAGGGACTTGAGGAGAGAGGGAGCTTCCTTTAGTTTTCTAGTGTTCCATGAGGAAGCTGAGAGAGGTCTTGGGACTTGACTAAAGTCACACACAGAGAGAAGGAATGGGAAGAAGCAGGGGACTTCAACTGGTCTGACTTCTGAATCCATCCCCCTGAGCCTCCTCGGGGCACAGACAGCCAAGGGGGGCACAGAGCGTGGCACCTAGAGCCCATCTGCGTTTGGTGTCCAGTGCTCACCTGACCCTAGCTCGTAGCGGAACTCCAGGTGGCCACCAACCATCGCCAGGGACACGAAATCTTCCACGGGCTCCCTCTTCCCTCCGCTGAACAGCAAGATCCCATTGGGCTCCAGTGGCTTGAACTCGACGTCCAGGCGTAGCTCGTGGTGCATGTTGGTGAGGGCGGGCAAGGCCAGGTAGGAGCCAGCGCCCGACATGGAGGGGGTGGTCACGGTCACACCTGTTGCAGCCACAGCTCAGCCCAGGGCGGTGGGGACACCAGAGTCCCGGGAGGGGCCTGACGACTCAGCCTTACTCTGGGACCCCTGCCCACCTCACCCTCTCGTCCCAGAGGCTCAAGATCAGCTGGGAAACACCCGTAGCTGCACAGAACGCTGGCCCACCCAGCACTGCGGGCCAGGCTGGAAGGATCTCCAATAAGATGGACATCCTTTTGGGGGACTCTCACGTAAAGGATTTAGACTGGGCAGAAGCTTGGCCAGTGACTTTGAGGCTAATTTTACCATCCTAGGACCCATCATGGCCTCAGAGGGCCCCTGCCCAGCTCCTCCCCGTTCTTACTGGGATCCCAGGGGGGTCTCAGGCCAGGCCCCACTCACCTTCCTCACACCTCATCCCTGAACGGCCCAGGTGGCAGCGGCAGGTGTAGCCTCGGCCGTCGGGCCGGTTCACACAGGTTGCGTCGGGCCCACAGGCCTCTGGGGGACACACAGGCCATGAGGAGGACATTGAGGTGACGCAAGAAAGGGTGGCAGTCCTGATGCCAAAGCCCTGCCTGTTGCACCCCAGGGGCCTCGGCTCTCTAGGGTTTAGCCAGCCTGAGCAGGGTGACAGCGAGGGCCGGGCCGGAGGAGCTGGGCGGGGGAGAGCAGGTGGGAAGTACACAGGTGATTCTGTCTGTCTGCAGTGTTCCTGAAAGACTGCACCTGGACAGCAGTTTGGGGGTGATAGGTACCTGGGTGGCAGGTGATGGGCGAGTGCCTCGGTAACAGATGGGGAGGTGGTAGTTACCGGGGTTGCACTGGTAGAGGGGAGGCGAGTGCCTGGGCATCAGTGTGGGGGTAAGTTTTGGGGGAGCAGAGGTGGGAGGCAGGGTATTAGGGTGGCAGTGATGAAAGTCCGTATCTAGGGGGACTGGTTGGTACCTGGGCACGAGTGATGGCGTCTGGTAAGTACAGTTAGCAGTTGGGGTGTGTGGGGGTGGATATGAAGGCGAGCACCCAGGGCGATGGTGGTCAGGAGGGTGTGCACGCACCTGGGTGGCAGTGCAGGGCCTGGGAGTGCTCACAGCGGCTTCCGGTGAAGCCCGCCTGGCAGATGCACACGTAGCTGCGGCTCTCTGAGTCCTGGCACCAGCCCCCGTTCTGCAAGGCAGCCCCCAGGGGTCAGGCCGGGGGTGCGCTGGCCCTCCCCCACTCCCCACCACAGGTGGCATGTGAGGCGTGGGGCTACCTGACAAGGCTGGTCCCGGCAGGTGGGGCAGTGGGAGATGCCGTGCGCTGTGAGGTTGAGGTCGTGGAAGACGATCTCCTCGCCCTGGATTCGTAGTTCCCGGACGCAGCCTGGGGGGTGGGCAGGTGGAGGAGTGAAGGTGGGGGTGCTGGGAGGCTGGCCCAGTCCTGACCGTGCCCTGCTGGGCCCTCCCGGCCTCTCAGGGCTCTGCCAGCCAGCCAGGTGAGGCTTGGCCCAGGCTGGAGACGGGGAGAGGGCTCACCTATGAAGCCGCTGCTCTGCCCTGCTTTGGGGATGGTGCTGTAGTCAGGGTAGCCGCCCAGGTAGAGCTCCTCATTTAGGTCCAGGCCCTGGAACTTGCCCTGGGGAGTGGAAAGGTCAGAAGTGGCAGACAGGCTGGGTGGAGGTGGGGCAGGGGCAGGGGCCAGGAAGAGGGGGTGGGTTGGGTCTCACCTGGGAGGTCCCGTTGACTGGGGCCAGGCTGCCCACAATCAGGGAGCCCTGGGTGAGGCTGCGCAGCAGGGTCACGGTGTGGAACTGGCCCAGTGCCAGCGGGGTGGGGTGGCGGATGGTGGCCATGCCTGAGCCTGCGTCAAACCTGCTCCGTGGGGCAGAGCCAGGGCAGGAGAGAGTGGCTGTCTGATTTGTAAGAAGGGTTAGGCAAGGGGCCCCGCTTGGGCAAAGGTGATGTCACCATTCTCCACAGGACTGCTCCAGTTCCTGTCCCCGCCTTGTCCTCCGCCCCATCCCGCACCCCCAGCTTGCCCAGTTCCTGTATCTTCCATAGCTCTTCCCTTTTCCCCACACCCCTGCCCTGGGAGCTTATCTGGAGCAGCCCCGGGGTTCTAGTTGCCCCAGGTCCCAGGGCCTGCAGCCTCACTGCCCCTGCGAGCACTGCTTCCTCTGAGGTCGCCTTGTTCCTTTGTTTAAGGCTGGCCTTCCCCAGCTAGAACACGCACTCCCACCGGGGTCAGAACTTGATCTGTTTTGTTTATTCCTGTACCAGTGCCTGGCACACAGCGGGGGTTCGGCAAACAACAGTTCAGTGAATGCATTCATGCTGGACTGCAGAAGTCCCACTACCTAAGGACACATGTAGCACCACTGAGCGTTTGTGTGCAAGTCTCGGGCTGCCTCCTCCTCCCCTGGTTGGCTCACTGTGCCTCCTCCAGCAGACCAAGTGGCACCGAGGGTAATGGCCACATGACCTTCGTCCAGAACCTCCTTGCACAACTCAGCCCAGAGTGGTGTGTGGCTGACTAAAGCCCTGAAGTCTAGTCCCCCAGCCCCTGCCCCTTGTAGATGCGGAGGGTGAGGGTCTCACCGGAACTCAGGCCTTCCACCCACGAGGCCAAAGGAGATGAAGTCGGGCAGCCTGTTGGCCAGGTTGGTGCGGCTGCCGGGGATCCGCTTCTGGCCATTGTACAGCAGCATCCCTGGGCGGCACAGCCATGTAAGGGCCTCCCAGCCAACTACGGGCTCCCTGTTTGCCCAGCCCAAGAACGAACCACCCAAGCTGTGAGCCCTCCGCTCTAAGAGCTGCCCCTCCCTCTGGCACTGCCCGCACGGGCACGGCCAGAGCCTTCCCACCACCTCAGGATGGTGCTCTAAATGGAAGGCCTGGCTGACAGCTCCCAGAGGGAACCTGAATCTGCTTCGCTCCCACTGCAGGCTCTCCCTGAGCGGGGCGATGGTGGCAGACACTCACCCGAGTAGAGAAGGAGGCCTGGACAGTGAAAGTCAGAGACCCGCGAGAGGTGGGAGGAGACAGACGAGAAAGAGAGAGAGAGAGAGAGAGAGAGGAGGAAAGGGTGAGAGATGGGAGAAGAAGGAGGGAAGATGGGACAGGGGGACTGGGTGCCGATGCACCGATGGCAGAAGGACCGTGGGGAGGCTCAGATGGCAGATGTCGCAGAGGCGGGGATGCAGAAGAGAGGAGGCATGAGAGAGGGTACAGGGGGCAGCCTGGGGGCTCCAGGACAGAGAGGGCTGAGGGAGGTGAGGAGGTAAGAAGTTGTGGCTTGTAGGGCTCATACTGTGATGGCAGCTACACCAGGAGATTCCCTAGCCTGGGCCCCCCATTAGCTTTTCTCCTGCTCACCATCAGCTGAGTCAGGCCGGAAGGTGATCTTGATCTCGAACTTCCTATAGGCATCCTTGATCGTGGGCAGTGGCAGGAAGGAGTGGGGGGTCTGCGTGAAGTAGGGTACCACCCGCTCTGTGGGCAGAGAACCCAGAGATGATGCTTGCCAGGCAGTGGCCAGGGCACTGCCAACCCCGTGGGGTGGGGGTTATTGTCTGACCTGGCACCTGCAGATTGGCAAAGGCTTTGACCTTGCCCTGACGGTTAGTGGCAGTGCAGACATAGGTGCCTGCGTCCTGGGGTCGAACCGAGGGCAGCAGCAGCATGTTGTTCTCCACGCGGCTGTCAGGTGGCAGATTCCCATCCAGCTGCAAACACACCTGTACTTGGGATCCTGGCCTTGGCCTTGGCCTGTCTCCCATGTCTACCTCAGGTCCACTCCCCAACCCTGAGCACTGTGTACCCAGCCTGGTCCAGGTCTTAGGGGCACAGAGATGGTGGAGACCTGGTCTCTGACCCTCAGGCATGCCCACTGGCCCCCTGCGAGGCACTGACCTTGCTCCAGGTGATGTCAGGAGTCGGGTAGCCAGAGGCCATGCAGGGGAAGACAGCTGCAGAACCAGCAGGCACTCGGACCTCTGGGGGCGTTGAGATCTGGGGCAAGGCTAAGAGGAAAGAGACCGAGGCCATCAACGCCATGACAGGCACCATTTGTGAGCCCAGCCTATGCCTGACTTGTTTAATCTTCACACGGTCTCTTGAAGGGAGACAGTGTGCCCCCATTTCACAGACAAGGAAACTGGCTTAGAGGGAAAAGTGGGTGTCGATTCCTGGCTGCAAAGCGGGAACGGGGCAGAGTCAGGGCTCAGGGACAGGTCCATCTGACCCCGCAGCCCAAGGCTCTTCAGAGCACCTGGGCAGAAAATGCTGCGGCCCCTTGTGGACCTGAAAAGGCAGCATTAAGGCAGCGTGGGTCAGAAAGTCAAGGGGCAAAGCCTAGGGTTTGGGGTGAAAAGGCATCGCCTTTGAAGAAAGCACTGATTCGTGCCTGCCCTGCATCCACGGCCCTGTTTCACTCTGTTCTGTCTGTTTGGTGTTCCCGGGTCTCCACCCCCGACTGGGCCGTAGGTCGGTCCCCCTCGTCGGGGCAGCCACTTCAGTGGGGAGGGACTCCGTATCTGTTTCCCCCTGGTGTGGCCTTTTCCTGTGAGCTCCAGCCTGCCCCAGAGGAACACTCACTTTTGTCCCCCACTGCCTCCACCAGCTATGAAACCTGCCCCTTAAACACACAAAACTGAAAATTCCCACGAGAGTGGAAAGGAAGAGTAAAGCAGCAGATAGCCACGCAAGAAGCCCCCCCGCTGCGGCCCCCACCGGCCTTCACCTTGCACGAGCAGCAGCACGTGGGACTGGGTGGTGCCGGCGGCATTGGTAGCGGTGCAGCGGTACTGCCCGGCGTCAGCCATCTCCACGTGGGCGATCCTGACAATGCCTCCGTTCTGCACGATGCCGGGCCGCATGCGTCCTCCCACTTTGCTCCATGTCACTTGAGGCTTGGGGTCACCCAGGGCCAGGCACTCGAACTCCACAGCGTGGCCGACCACCACGGTCTGCACGGAGGTCCGGATGTTGATGAGCACGGAGGGCAGGGCTGGGTGGAGGAAGGGGCAAGGGCAGCGTTAGGCAGGCCCGAGGGTCTAGGGAAGGTGAGCACAGGAGCCCTGGGCACTCACTTATCTCTCCATTCACCTTCTCGCGCATTCACTCATTAACACACTTGTTTCCTCTTGTGTTTATTTTCTCACTTGTGTATCCACGGTCACCCTCCTTCAGTTTGTCTGAGCACCACTCACCGCACCCACTTCCCTTCCTCTGCCTTCCCTTGCAATATCTGTTGAGCCCCCTTGCTCTGTGCTAGACACAAGCAAGTCACAATCAAGTCGTTCTCTTGATTCACACGCATCGAAGGGCCTCCCAGGGAACACGGTCCCTGTGCCCTGTTCTTAGCAGAGGTCTGAGCCACCATCTCACCTTGGACAATCAGCTGGGCACTGGCCTGAGCCTGTCCCCATGGTCCATGGGCCTGGCAAACATATGTCCCTTGGCAGCTCTGGTCCAAGTTCTGGATTCTGTGAAAGGAAAACAAGTCATCAGTGAATAAAAACAACTGAAGGGAATGCTTTGCAACTGCATGGGAGCTCGGAGCCATCAGAGATCAGCTACGGCGTCAACCTCTAGTCTTGCGGTAACCACGCAGGGCAGGCAGGCAGGCTGGCTGGCTGTCACCATACTCTTTTTAGTCTAACACCTTATGGTCTAGAGCTCAAGATATATGTTATCAAGGAGCAGAGCCGAGACCTGGGTCATGGGTATATATCCGGCCCCAGGGCCTGTTCTCTTTCCTCTATACAATACGAACGTGGGCCACTATTCACTAAAGGCCTTCCACATGCTAAGCACTGTGTTCAGTGCTTTAGATAATTTCATTTTGGCCTCACCTAACCCACTGTACAGCTGAGGACACTGGGGTTCAGAGGCGGAGGGACTTGTCCAAGGACTTAGTTTCATGCAAAGCACCAGAGGGCAGGCACTCTAACAGCCCCACTGTACAGCTTGGGCTGGGGTGTCCCCACCCCCACTCACCGGAGCACCCCATCCTGTACGCTGTGGCCAGGAGGCAGCTGACCCCCTTCCTTGAACCAGCGGAGCTGGGTGCCTTGGTCGCTGGGCACAGCGCAGTGAAACTCCACGCTGGCCCCAGTGCTCTTGGTCTCCTGCTGAGGCGTGACCTGAACGGCGGGTGTGGATCCTGCTGGGTTGGCGGTGGCAGGGAGAGAGCCAGAGGCACCTGCAGGGACACGTATGAGGTTCTGCATGTGTGTGTGATCCCCGACACCTGCCCAGGGCCCAGGAAGCCCCCATCCTAACAGTCAAGGAACGCTGTTCTTCTGGTAGCTTTCCTGACCAGAGAAAAAGACTTTTCATGGGCCGATCACCCACTGGCTCATTCATGCGGACACTCAGTCAACACACGGAGGAGCCAGTGGGGGGCGGGGCTCCGCGCTTCCACAAGCTCTTGTCTGACATGAGAGGGTACATGGTCATGGTGAAGGCACCTGCTGTCCTCCTGCAGGGCGGGGCGGGAGGTCGAGTAGGGCAGATACATATCACCGGCACTTACTCAGTGCCTACTGTGTGCCATGGGCTTTACAAATGTGTATCTAAGTCAGCCTATGCACTGGCACTGTCCTCTCCACTTGACAGATGAAGACACCAAGGCGCGAGACGCCTTGGCCACGCCTGGTCTTACAGCTGTTGGGTGACGGGGCTGTGTGCTGAATTTGGCATCGCTGTAGCCGAGGCTCTTGGCCAACAGGCTACCTGCTTTCGCACTTTTAGAATTTGGGGCTTCACAGGACTTGTTTGGCTTTATGTGATTGATGGGGGAGACCGTGGAGCTGCTGGATTCTTTGGAGATCCACCGAAACCCTGGGAATGCCGGGGGCAGTGCTGCCCTGCCTCACACTCGTGGTCACCACTGCCCAGCCTTTACTGAGCCCTGTCTGGGTCCTGTGGTGGGGGAGCCTGGGGCTGCGGAAACGACTGGGCCCAGGCCCTGCCCTGAGCGTCCTTAGTGAAGAAGGCTACAGTGCTTATGTAAACAGCCCCTGGCAGTGTGAGGTCGCCGCCAAAAGAGCAATGTGGCCATGAGAGCTAGAGGTGCTGAGAACTCAGTGAAGGTGGTCTTCCTGGAGGAGGCGGGCCTGTTTCAATGCTTGAAGAACAGGGGGAAAAGGACTGATTTCCAGGTGGTGTAATGGAGGGAGGTCTTTGTGCCCTTAGTAGGGGTCTCCGGGTGCCAGTCACTGGGTGAGAAAAGGGCGTGGAGGAGGCCTGACCCCTTCGGCCCAGCCTGAGCTAGGTTGCTCACCTTGAACCAGCACCTCGGCGAAGGCCTCGGCCAGGCCCACCTTGTTGGTGACCTGACAGCGGTAGCGGCCCGAGTCCTCAGGGGCTGCAGACTCAAAGCGGAGCATCTCGTTCCTGGCCGTCACCCTCCTGGGGAGGCTACCACCCTCGCGGCTCCACTGGAAGGTGAGCGGGGGCGTCCCATGAGCCAGGCACTGGAGCTGCACCGTCTCTCCTGCCCTCACCGAAGCGTGCTCTGGGACTGTGGTGGCATACGGTGGGCCTGGGGAGAGGGGACAGAGAGGAGGGGGGACGGGTAGAGAACAGAGATCAAGATGGGAGGAGACTTGCTGAAGGATTGAGGGAACTGAATGGTGAGCCCCAGGGACTGAGGATGAGGGAATCCAAGGTCCCAGGAGGGAAAATGGCTTTTAAGCTAGGGCAGGGTCTGGGGGCCTGAGGTGCACGGGACTCTTGGGACGGGGCTCCTGGAGTTCTGCCCGGGGTGCAGCTGGGTAGTGGGGCTCAGACCTCCATGTAGTACAGACAGGGTGGCACCGGGAGGGCGGATAAGGGCCTTACTGTCCACATGCAGGGCAATGGTGGCCTCAGCATGTCCGAGAGGACTGGTGGCATTGCAGATGTACTGGCCCGAGTCCTGCTGGGCTACTCGGGGGATGATCAGTGTGTCTCCTTCCAGCTTGTGCTGCCAGGGCAGGGGGGAGCGCAGCTTAGACCAGTGGATGGTGGGCGTGGGGCTGCCTGTGGAGTGGAGCAGAAGACGGCAGAGGTTTCCGGGCTGCCTCAGAGACCAGCTGGGGGCAGGGGTGGTGAGGGAGGGACCTGGATGACCTTGCCCTTCATGGGAGACACTAAGTGGGCCCCTCAAGAATTACGGGGAGATGTAGCAGCAAAGCCCCCTCCCCGGGCATGACACCATCTTCAGATTTCTTGAGTCTACAATTCAAGCCCCAGGGCACCACTGCCCGGCCTGCCCAAGTGCTAGGCCCTGTCCACACCTGTGGCTGAGCAGCGCAGGGTGGCCGTGTGTCCAGCTTCCACAGTCAACTCCACTTCTTCCACCTGGACTTGCGGGGCCCCTGGGATCACGCTGCCCGTGTCCACAATCACCTCCACCCGCTTCTGTGCTGTGCCTAGTGCATTCTGTGCCAGGCACACGTAGGTGCCAGCATCCGACGGCTTAGCCGATGGAATCTGGAGGGAAGCCAGAGGGCAGGCTGTGAAGGTGCTGACCGGGGATGTCGGCATCTGTCCCCAGCTCTGCCCTGGCTTCACCTCTTTCCTCTACCCTTCCTTTTGTTTTTAGTTGACTGGCTGCTGGAGAGCTAACACTTAAGACATCTTGTTAGTCCATCCATCCACTCACCCATCAAACCGTCTGCCTATTCATCCATATACTCACCCACCCACCTGTTCTTTCCTCCTTCCCTTCCTCCACCTTCCTCTTCCCAGCCATCTGCCAATCTACCCACTCTCCCTTACCCCGCCCCTCTCTTTCTCTCTCCTTCCATTCATCATCCATCTGCCCAACCAACATTCTTTCCTCCAAGCACCTGCTCAAGGATGGGCCCTGACTGAGCCTCAGACCCAGAGACAGAACAGCCTTGGCCTCTGGCCAGCAGAAGCCACACCTCACCTGCAGCAGGGTGTGGCTGTCCACGAGCCCGAACACCTGCTGCTCCACGCCAGCGGGGGTGCCGAGCCGGGTCCAGCGAGCCGAAGAGCGGGGCTCACCAGCACCGACACATTCCAGGGTGATGGCCTTGCCCACTTTCACCCGCACGGGGCCCTCGGGGAGCACAGACACCGCAGGGGGCCCTGCCCGGAGGAGCGACACAGCTGGTACAAATGCAGGGCTCTACTGGTCACAGCCACTGTCACAACCCGCTTCTCAGTAACCACGGGGTGGGGACTTGTCTCCCCCCCGCGCCAACATGGAAACTGAGGTTCAGGGAGGGAGAATGCCCAAGAGGGAGGCAGAGGCAGGATTTAAATCTGGGGCTTCCGAGTTTGGACTCTGGGCTGGGAACAGGAAGGCAGAGCCCATGGGGTTGACGTCCCTCACCGTGTACATTGAGGTTCACGACACTCTGGGCCACGCCATAGACGTTGGAGGCCACACAGCGGTAGGTGCCGTGGTTGCTGGGCCGGGCGCCGACAATGGTGATGATGGAGCCATTGGGGCTGATGTGGACGTTGTCTGGGGGCATTGGGGACGGGATGGTTGGTCAAGGTGTCCACATGCCCTGGTGCTGCCCGTAGGTGTGCTTCGGTCCCATATCCCCAACCCCTCCAGCCCGGGTGTCCAGCTCACAGGGTCATTGATGGCAGATGAAAGAGTCCTTGCAGACTCCCGAATCCAGTCCCCTGACCATCCAGATGGGGACACTGAAGCCCCGGAAGGGAAGGGCCACCCCCAGGGCTCACCCTCCAGCTCTTGGTTCCGAGTCTTCCACTCAAGGCTGATGGGGGCTGCCCCGTCGTGGATCAGGCACCTGAAGCTGGCATCTTGGCCCTGCTGCACGGTGCTGCTGGGCGGGTCGATGGAGATGACGGGGCTACTAAGGCCTGGGGAACGAGGGGTGCAGAGGGCTGGGCTCAGCAGGCTGGGCTGGCTCAAACCCCTGCCTCAGCACCAGAGTCTCTCCTCCTCCCCGGCCCACGGCGTGTGCCACACTCACGGTAGGAGGAGCCCGCACTGGGTGGCACAGTGACTGTGAAGGAGGCCTCCTGCTCGGGGCCTGCGACGCCGACTACACGGCACACGTACTCGCCGGAGTCCGCAGGGGAGAGGTGGGGGAGCCGTAGCAGGGAGCCGTGGGTCTGTCAAAGTGAGGGTGGGGCAGCCATCAGGCCGGAGCACTTGGACAGGGCGGGTCCCCAGGCCAGGCTCTGCAGGGGCCCAGGAATTCTCACTGGGTCTCGGGAGCTCAGGGCTCCAGCTGATGCAGATGAGCTTCATTCACAGAATCCTACACATCCAACCCAACCACCTCACAGAGGAGGAAACTGGCTCAGGAGACAGTTTGGCAGCAGAGCCAGGAGAAAAACTGGGTGTCGCGACTCCCAGGCTGGTGAACTCTTCCCCCCAACAGTATTTTCTCCCCTGGGGCCCCAAGCAGGCCGGGGTTTGCGTGAGGTTTGGGGTGCAGAAGGCAACTGCAGGTCAAACCCTGCCTGCCTAGAACCACCCACCCTGCCCCTGTACCTGGTGCCGGGAGGGGAGGCTGCCTCCGCGCTTGTACCATGTGACCTGGGCGTGGGCCTGCCCAGGCACCACACAGTTCAGATCCAGGGTCTGCCCTTCAGCCACGTGGGAGGAGGAGGCCTCGATGGAGATGGGCTGGGCCAGTCCTGGGGCTGTGGACACAGGGGTGGGCGAGGAAGGCAGGGATTCGGGAAGTGAAGGCGGGAGTATAAGGTGGGGGCAGTGAATGCTAATTGGTCCTCCTCCTAAGGTGCAGTGACTTGAGTGACTGACATGGCTGAGCACCACTGGCCTAAGAAGGATCTCCATTCGCCAGGGGCCAAGGTGCCTGTGGTGAGACCCAGGGCCAGACCCTGGTGTTGGGGGAGCAGCTGGAGGACCTTTGGGGAGTTGATAGCCGGAGCCCGGCTGGGAGAGCAGGGAGCGGCAAGGCCAGAAAGCACCCTCCCCCCAGCACTGCCCACTGCTGCCACCACTTACCAGGAATGGGGCCTGGGCTGGAGGCCTCAATCGTGACCAGGACAGAAGCCTCCAGGGTGCCCGAGCTGCTGGTTACCTGGCATGAGTACTCCCCAGAGTCAGCAGGGGACACTTGGTTCAGCCTCAGCAGGGGGCCATGGGCCTGCCAAGATTGGGGTGGGAGTGAGGAGAGGGAGCTGGGGGCCAGCAGCCAAGGCCGCAGATGGCCCAGCCCTCTGGTACCCGTCTCCAGGACTGTCATGTACATTGTGTAGGCTGCATCCTATCGAAGGCAAGCCCCTTCGACATCAGACACTATGGAACATGTTTATTGTGACACTTTTCCTGGTGGGAGGAAATCCAGTCTGAAATAAGAGCCATCTTCTTTAAACTGCCACCGAGGTGCTGGGGGTCCAGCCTGTTCTTGACCTCCCGGGTTCCCAGTGACCTTGGGGCCACCTCCCTGCCGGGGCTGGATTCCAACAGGATTCCGACAGGGATCCCACCCCTTGGGGTGGGGTGGGGAGTGCCCACATTCTGCTTTCTCCAGCCCCCTCACCTGGTGCCGGGCAGGGAGGCTGCCCCCGCGTCTGTGCCACGTGACCTGGGCGTGGGCCTGCCCGGGTACCACGCAGGTCAGATCCAGGGTCTGCCCTTCAGCCACGTGGGAGGAGGAGGTCTCGATTCTGATGGGTGGAGCTCTGCCTGGGACTGGGGCACAGGAAGAGATCAGTGAGCTGGGACCCCCACCCTTGTGCCCTCCGCCCCTGCGCTGGGTGCAGATATTCAGACTAGAGACCGTGGGGAGGTAGCCTTGATCCCCCCTTTCCCATTCTCCTGAGGCCAGGAGCAGCTGGGCTGGTCTGGGGGTAGAAGTGCCCCATTTTCCCAGTCCCACCCCAGACACTGGTCCCACGATCTCCCCCTGTGCTCTGCGCACCACTGGTGGCCAGGGCTCAGGGCCCGGCCCCTCCACACAGATCACCATGTTTCCTGAACTCGAGTAGTATGTGGCTAAGAACCCAGACTCTGGGGCCAGACTGCCTGGGTTCAAAACCCAGCTCCGCCATTTACTGGTCCTGTGACCTTTGGAAAGGCACTTCACTTCTGAAACTGTCTCAGTTTCCCCATCTGCAAAATGAAGAGAATAATCCTACCTCCTTCCAAGCACTAGTATAAGGATGAAATGAGTTGATATGTGTAAGTGTAACACATATTTATGTGTTTATTACTTGTGCTATATCATGTTTATCACTTAACAACTCACTCACTATTATCGTGACATCTGCGCTAGTCATGAGCTCCCTGTGCTGTCAATTACAGTTCCTTTCTATTGATTCACTTTTGAAAGCCCTCTAATCCTTAGCCCCGTTATAAGCAATGATTTCCATGAGATCATGACACGTGTGATATGTTGCCATTTCCCCCCTACTACGCCACTAGCAACATAAAAGATGCCATCAGGTGCCACCTCAGACCACCTCACACACCCCTAGAGGTGCAGTTCCGGCCTTTAGGGAGCTCAGGTAATCGCAGCGAGAGCTCGGCTGTCCCCACTTTACAGACGAGGAAAGGGAAATGCAGACGCGACAGGACCGTGTAACGTCTCAGAGTGCGGACTTAGGAGCTGGGACTCAAGTGCATACGTGCCAGACTCCGAAGTCTGTGCCCTTGAACCCCCCTTGCCCTTGCTCCCGACCTCTGCCTGCGGGCCCCCTCCTTCCCTCCCTTCTCTAGCCTCCTAGCACCACCGTGGGGAACCTCACCAGGGACAGGAACAGTGCTAGGGCCAGAGGCCTCAATGGTGACCAGGACTGAGGCCTCCAGGGAGCCAGAGCCGCTCACCACACGACACATGTACTCGCCCGAGTCAGCCGGGGACACCCGGTGCAGCCGCAGCCGTGAGCCGTGAGCCTGAGCAGGGACAGGAGAGGGAGACAGAGGAGCAGCCGTGGCAATGGGGATGCTTGAAGGACTGGGGCAGGCACTGCATCCCACGGGGCCTCCCAGACCCTTTCCGGGGCAGAGACTGTGGGGCAGACCCCTGTCCAGGGGCCTCCTCCTCCAGCAGCCCTCCCACTGTTCCTGCCCCCAAATTCCCATACCTGGTGGTGAGCGGGGAGGCTGCCCCCACGCTTCTGCCACGTGACCTGGGCGTGGGCCTGTCCAGGGACCACACAGTTGAGATCCAGGGTCTGCCCTTCGGCCACGTGGGAAGATGATGACTCAATTCTGATGGGCATGGCACTGCCAGGGACTGAGGATACAGAGACACCAAGTCAGGGTGTTGGCTGTGGTCAGATCTGGGAACAAATGGGCTGCTGGACACCTCGGCCCTAGAAACCCCCCCACACAAGTGGCCATCGGGCCCTTGAAATGTGAGGATGTGAATCTGGAATTTTAAATAATTGAATTGCCACATGTGGGTGGCAGCCCCTGTATGGGACAGCTCTGTGAGACTGGAATGACCCGTATACCCACTTCACCGAGGAGGAAACGGAAGCTGGGGAGGAGAGGAACACTCCAGTCCCGTGGTGGTACAGGCAGGATTCAGACCCAAGCGTCTTTCACTGAGCCCTTCCTCCCCAGGGAACACTGTTACCTGTGACTCCCGGTCCCTTCCAGGGTCCTCGTCAGACTCACCGGAGGGGTTGCCGGCGTTGGGGGAGACTGAGACCATGATGGAAGCCTCCCGGGCATCGATGTTGTTGTTCGCCCGGCACACGTACTCGCCCGAGTCAGCCACGGACATCTGGTACAGCCGCAGGAGGGAGCCGTGGGCCTGGCCGGTGGGTGGGGAAAGAGGGAGCCGAGGGGCCAAGGGGTCATGGGCTGGGTCAGGGCTCCCCGCGGCCTCTCTTGTCAGGCCTGCTGAGGCTACCCTCTAACCGGGGCCGGAGGGAGGGCTGCCCCAAGGGCTGCCTTGGGCTGTCCTCGTACCCACCCCAGGAGGTGAGGGTTCCATCCTCACTGCCACATTCCGCTCTGTACCTGGTGTCGGGTAGGAAGGCTGCCCTCACGCTTGTACCATGTGATGATGGCCTGGGGCTGCCCAGCGACTACGCAGTTCAGATCCAAGGTCTGCCCTTCGACCACTGTGGGGGCCGAGGACTCGATCCTGATTGCTGGGGCGACACTGGGGACTGGGGACAGAGAGGGTCCGATGTGGTCAGAGTCAGCCAGCAGTGATTACGCCAGGGACCCCCCCTGCACCCACCTCCTGGACCCCCCGCTCTCACCATGGGAGGAGCTGCTGCCCTGGATGGTGACGATCAGTGAAGTCTCCTGGGAGCTGGCACCGTTACTGACGTGACACACGTACTCGCCTGAGTCTGCGGGCGTCACCTGGGGGATCCGTAGCCGGGAGCCCACGATCTGAAGGGGAGCAAGTGTCAGCAGGTGGGGATAGCACCTCCATGTCCTGGGCACTGCTGCTCAGGGACTCCAGGAGTGTCCCTGCCTGGCCCAGGGCCAGCCCCCACCCCAGTCTCCTTCAGAATACCCCCAGGGGCCTTCCCGAGGCTCTGGGCTGGGGAGTACACTGCTTCTGGCCTTTATACTGTTCTACCGAAGCCCACCCCGGGTGACTCCATAGTGCCTTGCTGTGGCTCCTACTGCGCCGCCCCACCCTCCAGCCTGTGAGCTGCCTGAGGACAGGCACCTGTCTCAGTCCACCTGCAATCCTTAGTGCCAGGTGCAGGACCTGGCTTGGTCCTGGGAAATGGAGCAAGTAAGTGAATCATAGAATGTTCTGTTAAACCACAGGATCAGAGAGACTTGTCTCTGTGTCCTCAGCACTGGTCCAGGGCCCATATAGCGAGAATACCCGACGTTTGTTGAATGACTAAAGGAGCACCAAAGAGGTTCTGAGTGCCCCTCCTGATTCCCATCAGGGCCAGTGAGCTCAGCTTTTCTTCTCTCTGCCTGCTGGATGAGTACCTGGTGCCGGCTGGGTAGGCTGCCTCCACGCTTATACCAGGTGATGGTGTGGGGGGCTTGGCTGGCCACCAGGCAGTTGAGGTCCAGGGTATGTCCGTTGGCCAGGGAGGCCGAGGAGGACTCAATGCGGACAGGGTACACCACACTCTGGGCTGGGAGGACGAGATGAGAGGCAGGTATGGGAGCCACTGAGGATGAAGTGGCCCTCACAGCTGCACACCACTTTCTATGACCCCTGAGATACTCACACAGGGAGGGGCCAAGGCGCTTCTGGATGGTGACGAGGACCGAGGCTTCCTGGGTGCCCGAGCTGCTGCCCACGCGGCACACGTACTCCCCAGAGTCAGCTGGGGTCACCTGGGGCAGCCGCAGCCTTGAGCCGTGCACCTGACAGGGCACAGGGAGACAGACAGAGGGACGGACATTGGGGCTCACAGCCCAGCTCCGGCCCCCTTCTCTGGCTCCTCCCAGCCTGGCTCCCCCACTGGAGCTTGAGGACTGCTCTTCCAGGGAGAACCACCATTTGTGACCTTTGAATTCCCCGTCCCAGTGTGCGGACTGGGTCCAGCAGGACGTGGGGGACTGGCATTTGCTGACGGCTGCAGGGCAGGCAAAGAAGCCGGTGTGAGCCCATTTGGGGTGTGAGGATCGGGAAGTCAAAGGACTGGCCTCAAGTTACACAGGAGGCCAGAGCCGAGAGCAGCATTTAAACTCGGATATGCCTGGATTCAAAGCCTATGGTCCTTATTCTGCAGTCATGAGGGCCCCCATTAGCTCCCCACCTCCTACCTGGTGCCGAGCAGGAAGGCTGCCCCCACGCTTGTGCCATGTGACCTGGGCATGGGCCTGCCCAGTCACCAGGCAGTTCAGATCCAGGGTCTGCCCTTCTGCCACGTGGGAGGAGGAGGACTCAATCCGAATTGGGAGGGTCACCCCGAGCGCTGGGGACAGGAAGCAGAGGGTCAGCCCCTGGCCGGAACGGGAGGAGGAGGGGCGGGTGAGGGGAGGCAGGGCTTTTGTGCTTCCACTCCAGCTCCACTTACCAGGAACGGTGCCTACAGGCTCAATGGTGACCAGGACAGACGCCTCCAGAGGCACCGAGCCCCCCACCACGCGGCACACATACTCGCCGGAGTCAACGGGGGACACCTGGTAGAGTCTCAGCAGGGAACCGTGGGTCTGGCAGGAACGGAGGTGAGGTCAGAGGGGGCCCTGCGAGACCCCTGGGCCTATAACATGCCTCACTGTCTGCTGAGGGGTAGGGAAGAGGGGTCTCGTCCCAGGGGTGGTGGGTGGCCAGGAGGAGGCTGGGTGAGCTGAGCAAGCACTAATAACACATTCCATAAAATCTGAGACACTCTAGTTGATGTCACTAAGGTCCCGATGCTTCTTACAGCGAATGATTTTACAGTTAAATGGCAGCTTTTTGTTCTTACAGGCACATAAAATAATGGTGCAGCTGCAATCAGTGGCATCGTAAATTCTATAAAATGTAGTAATACATTTTATGTATTACTACCTAATGGTGGGGGCGTAGATGAAGAGGGGAGGGGACTGAGAAGTACAAATAGGTAGTTACAGAATAGCCACAGGGATGTAAAGTACAATATAGGACATGGAGTAGCCAAAGAACTTATACGTATGACCCACAGACACGAACAGTTGTGGGGGATTGCCTGAGGCAGTGGAGGGTACTTGATAGAGGGGGAAAAGGAGGAAAAGGGAGAAAAGTTGGGACAACTATAGCAGTATAATCAATCAAATATGATTTGAAAAAGTAGCTAATGGTATTACAGTAAGAACACAGTTCATCGAGCCAGAGCTCTGAGCCCCTTGCATCTGTATTAGTTCACTTTCTCCTCAAGACAATTTTGTCAGGTAGGTACTATTACTACTTAACAGGTGCTGCAACTACCGCCCAGGAGTTAAGGAACAGCCAAGGTCATAAGCCAGTCGGTGGTGGAAGCCGCACTCATTCTGAGGACCGCTGCTCCAAGAGCCTGGGTTCTAACCACGCGCCGGTGCAGTGGGGGCCCGGCCTCCCCCTGTCTTGGTGGAGCCCCGCCCCCTCCCCCTCTCTGACCGCAGCACCCAGGAGCGTCCCTAGGGTCTCCTTCTTGGCCTGTCCTTCCTCTGGTCCTGTACCTGGTGCCGGGCGGGGAGGCTGCCCCCACGTTTATGCCACGTGACCTGGGCGTGGGCCTGCCCGGGCACCACGCAGTTCAGATCCAGGGTCTGCCCTTCAGCCACGTGGGAGGAGGAGGACTCGATGCGGATGGGCTGGGTGCCAACAGGAGCTGGGGGAGATGGTCAGTGAGTCACTCCAGTTCTCTGCAGCTGCCACCATCTATCCCCTTTCTCTGTCCCAGCCCAGCCTGGTGACCCTACTCACGGTAGGCAAAGTTGGCCCCCTGGGTCCTGGTTACTGTGACTGTGATGGAGGCCTCCACACCATTGCTGGCCCGGCAAACGTACTCGCCTGCGTCAGCTGGTGATGTCTGGAAGATGTAGAGCCGGGAGCCGCGCACCTGGGCAGCATGGGCAGCGGTGTGAGGCTGGTGTCCCAGAGCCCAGCAGATGCCCCCCCTTGCCCCGCACCTCTGAGCTGGGCACTGCCCACCCCTCGGCTCAGGGGCCAGGGTCCCTGAAACCCACTGTCCGTGGCTCATCCTGGCTGGCCCACCCCCACCTTGTTGCTACTCTGTACCTGGTGCCGGGCGGGGAGGCTGCCCCCGCGCTTGTACCACGTGACCTGGGCGTGGGCCTGCCCTGCCACCACACAGCTCAGATCCAGGGTTTGTCCCTCGGCCACCGTGGAGGACGAGGACTCGATCCTGACAGGAGGGACAGGTCCTGGGGCTGTGGGGACAGGGGTGAGGGTAGTAGGTGCTTCCCAAAAGAGAGGGCAAGAGCTTCTCACCCTGGGGCCAGCTCGGCCTTGTCTTCCAAGGTCAGGCCCACAGGTTTGGGGCTTTGGTGGCCTGGGCTTGATGTCTTCAGCTGAGCAACCCTGAGGGAAGGGCTGGGGCAGGGTGAAGCCTTGCAGAGTAGGGTGAGGAAGTGGGAGAGATGAAGGCAGTTGAAGCTGGGAGAGAGGAAGAGGAGGCAGCAGCAGACACACGAGGAGTGATGTGTCCAGAGAAGAACGATGGGAAGATGGAAGATCACTCAGGGAAGTAGAGTCTGCCTGGGCCGGGCCCTACAGACAGCTTCAGGGTGAACCCCCTGCCCCAAGTCACAACATGAGTCCCAGGACCTCAGCACCTTGGAGGTCCTCCAGGTGGCCCTGTCATCGGCAGTCACTTACCAGGCATGGAGTTAGTGCTGGAGTCAGAGGCCTCGATGGTGACGAGGACAGATGTCTCCAAGGGCCCAGAACCAAGGACTACTCGGCACACATATTCGCCAGAGTCGGCTGGGGACACCTGGTTCAGCCGCAGCAGGGAGCCGTGGGTCTGAATACAAATAGGGGGGTGTGTTCAGAGGGCGCCAGAGCTTCTCAGTCCAATCCCTCCAGTAGGCTGGCCCTGGGGGCTGCTGTACCTGGTGCCGGGCAGGGAGGCTGCCTCCGCGCCTGTGCCATGTGACCTGGGCATGGGCCTGCCCGGGCACCACACAGTTCAGATCCAGGGTCTGCCCTTCAGCCACATGGGAGGAGGAGGACTCGATTCGGATGGGCTGGGAGCCGCCCCGAGCTGGGCTTCCACCAGGACCTGGGCACAGAGAGGCTGGTCAGTAGGGAGGCCTTTTGGGGGCGGGGACCATGCTCTTCTGCCTCAGCATGGCCAGCCAGACCCCCCTTTTCATCCCCCATCTCCAACTCAGAGTTCAAGGTCCATTTGCCTTGATTTGTGACTAGCTGCTCTGGCCTGCAGGGCTAAAAGATGCAGACAGTGCCCTGGCTGGTGTAGCTCAGTGGATTGAGTGCAGACTGGGAACCAAAGGGTCACCAGTTCAATTCCCAGTCAGGGCACATGCCTGGGTTGCAGGCCAGGTCCCCAGTAGGGGACACCTGAGAGGCAACCACACACTGATGTTTCTCTCCCACTTTCTCCTTCCCTTCCCTTCTCTCTAAAAATAAAATAATAAAATCTTTTAGAAAATTAAAAAAGATGCAGACAGTAATGCCACAACTCCCTCCTAAAGTGTTGGCTGTTTTCCTGCCATAGGGTGGTGGTACTATCCTCATTTCACAGAGGAGGAAACTGAGGCCCCAAAAAGTAAAATAACCAGTTCACGGCTGATAAGGAGTAGGGCCAGGGTTTGAGCCCAGGTCAGCCCTGACTCCACCCCTTCCTGACAAGTTCTGAAAACAGCACCCTCATCATGGCTCACCAGGTAAGCTGCATCAGCCTTATCGCCACCCGCAGTCCCCTCACCCCTCCCAAGCAAGGAGTGGAGGGTCAAAGCCTGCCTAGTGGCCCCTCATGTCTTGAAGAGACCACAGACACCTTCCCAGGGAACGGTGAGGAGACCCTGGGGCCCGGCCTCTGTCCAGGCACACCTGGCTCCACACCTGGGGTGTAGCTCGGGCCGGAATGGGTACTATGGAGGACAGAGACGGTGATGGAGGCCTCCTTGGAGCCTGACCCGGTCTCCACACGGCACACGTATTCTCCAGAATCAGCGGAGGAAACCTGAGGGATCCGAAGCCGGGAGCCGTGCACCTGGGCCGGGTGGAGACAGAAGTATGTGAGGATGGGGAGGGGGCCGTGGCCGACACTCCCTCTGAGCCTCGGTGGGTCGTTCATCAAGTGCTCACTGGCCCTGCTGAGCTGCCCCACGCCAAAGAGGGAGGAAAGCAAAGGGCTGGCCCTGCTTGCAGAGAGTGCCAGGGCTGTGTGAAGCTTCCACTTGCACGGAGAACCACCCCCAGGACCCCTGCTGCAGGCTCCGGGACCCTCATACCTGGGTATGGGCGGGCAGACTGCCCCCGCGCTTGTACCATGTGACCTGGGTTTGGGCCACCCCTGCCACCACACAGTTGAGGTCTAGAGTCTGCCCTTCAGTCACAGAAGGTGATGAGGACTCAATCCTGACTGGCGGGGAGCTGGTACCTGAAGCTGGGGGCAGAGGGGGAGTGAGTGGGCCTCAGGGAGCCCTGGCTTGCCCTCTTCACTCCTCCAGCCCCCAGAGACCCTGCACCTGAGAGGACGACCACTTCAATCCGGGCCTGCGCGGTGCCCGCAGGGCTGGTGGCCACACAGAGGTAGAAGCCGGCATCGGCAGTTGTGATGTCTGGGATGAGCAGCGTGGCGATGTCCGTGTGCTCGGGCTGGGCCTGCCGCACAGGAGATGGGTCAGCTGCCTGAGCAGCCGAGGCAGCCTGGCAAGGACCAGCCAGCAAGGGTGGGCAGAGGGGGCAAAAGGTACAGGCAAGCACAGAGGCAACATTAGGCCCAGCTGGGCACCGAGGAGGGCAGAGTCAGGCTACAAAACGAGAGGCCGACAGCTGCTACCTGCCAGGATGTCTGAGCAGGCCGCCTTCTTGCAAGTGAAAGGGACCAGAAGGGGATGGAGCAGGAAGCGCAGGTGAGAGGGGCAGGCGGCAAGTGCTGGGACTCTGTTGAGCCTGTGGGCCTGGCCCCGATGGATCTCCTCACCTGTGGGGGGAGGCTGCCCCCTTCCTTCCTCCAGGTGATGGTGGCACTGGGCACGCCTGGAGCCCTGCAGTACAGCCTGACAGTGCGGCCTTCGTGCACCTGGGTCCTCTCCGGACTCACCTGCACCCTGGGCCCATTGCCCCCTGCAGACAGAGCCCTGTGAGAATACCTCTCTGGGCCCCCCATGTGCTCCCAGCCCCACCCACAGCCCTGTCCTCTCACCGTGCACGTGGAGCACGGCCCTGGCCACGTGCTGCCCAGCGCTGCTGTGGGCACGGCACAGGTACTGGGCTTGGTCCGAGAGCTCGACGGCGGGCAGGCGCAGGATGCCACCGTGGATCTGTGCCTTCTGGGGAAGCTGGCCACCAGGGCCCCCTGACGTGGAGAAATGGGGTCGGCACCTGCTGGGACGGGCATTACTGCCCCTTTCCCTCCAGCCTAGAGTCCTGCCCCTAGAGTCCTCCCACATCCGGGAGAGCCAGGCCCTGAATGTCATTCCTGCCACCGCCTCACCTGTCCACTCAAGGGTGGGCGTGGGGTGTCCTGTGGCGCTGCAGCGGAACTCGGCCTGCTGCCCGGGCTGCACTGTGAGCTGTGGTGGGTGGATAGAGACCACGGGGGCAGATGGGGTGCCCGAGGCTGAGGAGGGAGGAGAAAGAACACCTGGTTGGGGCAAGTATCCTCTGACCCATGGCAACAGCCTCCAAGCTGCTCTCTGCTTTCACTCCAGCCCCTCAGCCCTTCGTCCACAGAGCAGAGGGAGCTTCTGAAGTACCAATGGGACCGTGTCCCTTTCCCATTTAAGGTCTATCCGTGGCTCTCTGTCACTTTTACCATAAAACCCAATCTCCCTGCTGTGGTCCCCCAAGTACATGTGCACTCACCTCTGCTGACATCTTTGGGTTTATCCTCCCCGCACCCCCACCTGTCCACAGCTCCCGCCACACTGGTCTTGCCTCAAATACATTGACATGCTCCCGCCTCAGGGCCTTGGCATATGCTGCTTCCACTGCCAGGAACACTCCCTGCCAGCTCTTTAAGTGGCCAAACACCTGCCCTCCCTTCAGGTCTCAGCGCAGATGGCGCCTCCTCAGAGAGGCCTCCCTGATTGCCCTGTGCAGAGTAGCTTGCCCTCTTAGCTGCTTTCTCACTTCCCTGTAAGCATTTGCTGCGGTCCCCGTGTGTAACTGTGCTGTTTGTCCGCTTCCATGTTTATTTTGGCCCTACTAGAATATGTGTGTCGTGTGAGGGGGCGGGGCTCCTGTTCAACCTTTTTTCCCATTTCTTCAGAGTCTAGGCCAGGACTGGACAGACTGTGGAGGCTCAGAAACTGTCAGCGGAACACGTCGTGGTGGGCACTGGGAAAGGCTGGGGGTGGGCGGGTCAGGCATGGACATGAACGGTATACCTTGCACATGCAGTGTGGCTGTGCCCTGGTCCATGGCGAACATGTTGGAGCCAGTGCACACGTAGGTGCCCGCGTCACTCGGCTGGACGTTGCGAATGGTCAGGATGCCGTTGAAATCCATGGCTCGGGCTGGCAGTTTCCCATTGTGCAGGCGGGTCCACACCAGGGTATAAGCCGGAGACTGCAGGTGGGGCCAGGGGGTGGGGTCGGGGTTAGGGGTGGTGCTCGGAGGCCCCGGAAGACAAGTCTCCCCCGTGACCGCTCCCTGCCCCGCACACCTTGCTCTTGGCTGTGCAGATGAAGGTGACGTCGGCCCCGGGGCGCACACTCTGGCTCCGCTGCTCTTCCACCCTCACTGTGATGGGCTTGCTTGGAGCCTCTGTGGCGTGGGTGGGGTGGGGGGGAGAGGCCCCCTAGTCAGTGACGGGCTGGCCAGGCCCCCCTTGTGGCCAGCTCTCTCTCTCCGTCATCTTGTCTGCATGCCACTTGCTTCCCAGTCTGGCTTGGATTCCATTCTACTCCCTGGCACTTCCCTCCCTCATCCACCCAACCCCCCTTATCCGTCTTTTTACTGTGGCACCAAGCTGCCGGCAGGCTGTGATGGGAGAACCTCACACTAAGAGTCCACCTGGCTCCAATTCATGACCACAGACCACAGATGAGCTCTGAACACTTCACACTTACTCCAACTGGGTTTCTCTGTCTGGTTTAAGTTTCCATCCGCCCCAAAACCATTTCACACCTCCTCCCATCTTCTTCACCCTCCCAATCCCCTGGTCTGCTTTTACAGCTAATGGTTTTGGTTCACACTTATTGAGAAACTTGAAACTGCTAGACAGGAATTTTTCCATCTCCCCAAATCTACCCACCTTCCTCCTTCCTGGTTCCTGAAGAATAAGACCCTGCCCCGCCATGCCCCCCACTTTCAGAGTGCCGGAGCCCCTTCTCTGCTGTGTTTTCTTGCTGCATCAGTTTCTCTCCCCAGCTACTACCCCATTTCTTGGTTTCCCTTCAGAGCCAAGAGTCTTGAAAGAGCCGTCCACACTTGCTGCACCCCCTCCATCCTCTGCCTCACTACCCCTTCTCTCCACTGAAAACGGCCCGGGTCAAAGCACGACCTCCAGGGGTTATTTCTGGGCCATATCCACTTCCTTAGGGCACATGGTGAGGCCGAGCACACCTCTCCTAGAAGCCTTCTCCCCTCTCAGCTTCCATCACACACCTCCCCAGACTCCTCCTAGCTCACGGGCCCCACCTGCTCAGTCTTCTACTGTAAAAGACTCTTTAATGTGACCTGTCGAAGTTCCTTGTGGCTCTGTCCTGGCCCTGTCCTCAAGCCACACTCTCCCTGGGTGATTTCACCCTGGCCCGTGGTTTCAAACACCACCCCTGTGCTAGCAGACCCCAAATTCACCTCCCCGGCCAGGGCCTCCCTCCTGAGTTGCCGACTCGCACGTCCAAAGCCTGCCTGACGTCTGGACATAGTCTCCGCCTCGGGATTCCCTCTGATCTGTTTGTAGCAGCGGCTACTGGTGCCCAGTTCCCTCATCCTGTCCCTCCAGTGCCATCTGGCCTGACTCCTGCCAGCTGCTGCATTTCTTTGCACAGGGGCTCTCTCAGGTCACTAGAGACCACTGTGCCTGCCTGGGAGGTGCAGGAGGGGTGCAGGGAACTGATGCTCCTAGAACAGGCCCCAAGTGATAACCGACAGGAACTGGCATGTACATACCTCGGCTTCCTTGGCCCTGGGGTGCACATTTTATTTGGGCATTTCCCAGAGTCCCCTTGGCTACATTGAACAATGGCTTATGGCGGTAACCTGCTCAGTAGCACACCCTTTACTGGATGACTTCTCTTCCCTCTCTCACTTCACCTCCGAATAAACTATGTCCACACAAATTCTTGTCTCGGACTCTGCTTTTAGGGGAGCCCAAATAAATACAGCTTCCTACTGAGCCTCTCACACCTCCATAAATGGCACCCCACTTGCCCAGCTAGTGGAGACCTGACGGCTGGATATCATCCTCAACTTCTCTCTCCCCCTCCACGACCACAATCAAGTCCTGACATTTCTGCTCTAAAACCAGCCTTGTCTCCGTCACCTCTCTGTCTCCATGGCCGGCAGCCTCGCCCAGGCAACCACCGTCCCCTCTGGTAAATGAATGCTCCTGCAGCCTGGTCGGCAGCCTGCAGCCCTGCCCAGCCTACGTGGTCTTGTGGACAAGGTAAGCAGGGACTCACCGGTGACCAGTAGTTCTGCCCGGCTGGTGTTGGCATGATGGAGATTGCGACAGGTGCAGACGTAGACTCCGGCATCTGTGGGCTGGACACTGGGGAAGTGCAGCTCGGAGCCTGGTGGGGAGCAGGTGGGAGTCATCCATGTAGACGCACCCCTCCCCCACCACCCAGCCCTGGGCCTCCCCACCCCCTGGGTGGTTCCTGGGGCTGGGGCCATGGGTACCTTGATGTCGCTGCTGGGTGCCACTGGACAAGGGCCGCCCATCCTCACGAGACCAGTAGAAGTAGTGGGGTGGGCTCCCACTGACCTGGCACCACAGGGAGTGGGGGCTGCCTTGGGGTACTATGCTCCGAGCTGGCTGCACCTGGACCACCAGAGGGGCTTGGTCTGCTGGTGAGGGGGAGAGGGGCATGGGAGAGCCCATTCAGGCGGGAGGCCCCCCGCACGCAGCAGTGTCTCAGAGTCTCTGCCTTTCCAAAGACTGTCCTGCCCCACGCCGAGCCCCGTCCTCCAGAACCCATGCCTCTCAAACTCCCCGGGCTCCCTGACTTGCCCATTACCCTGACCTGCAGCCTGGTTCCCCTGGTTCCACTTACCCTGGTTCAGGCACCGACCACCCTGCACGTTCGGGTTCCCCACGTAACCTGGGGCGCACCTGTAGGGAGGAACAAGGACCAACTCTGTCAGCTTTCAGGGCCCCCAGGGCCTCATGGTGGACTTGGGGCGCCAGAAGTTCAGCTGGCTGCTCAGCGTGGCTTGGGAAGGCTCCGAAGAGGACCCCCCGCAGGGCTTTAAAGGGAAGTGCAAGGGAATATCAGCAGGTTGGGTAGTAGGGGTGGTAAAGCCTTTATTCTCCAGGAAAACATTCATTTGACAAATATTTATTAAGCAACTATTATGCTAGGTTATGGAAATACAACAGTGAGCATGGAGTCCCTGCTCTACAGAACTTACCCACTGGGAAACCAACACAAAACCCCTGTAAAATCAGAGTGAGGGACATGTACTGGGGGCTGTGAGTGCACAGATCCAGCCCTGAGAATGAGGCTTCCCAGAGAATGGGGCTTCTGAGCTGTTCTGTTCCCTGGGAGCAGGCTGTCCTCTTCAGGGAACTCATCACTCTGCCCTTAACTCTCTCTTGTATGACCGCTTTTTTGCTGTCTTGCCTCCCGTTCCAGGCAGTAGACTCCACAGGGCTGGGATTGAATCTGTTTAGCCCACCACTGTATCTCCATCACCTCTGCATCTCTATCACCTCTGCACACTCCATGGCGCTCAGTAGATGCTCAATAAAAACGTGCTGAACGAATGGATGAAGCTGAGCCTTGAAGGCTAAACAGGGGTTAGCCAGGAAGGGGCAGTTTGAGGCTGAAGAATGTTCCATGTAGAGAAACCAGCACATGCAAAAACCTGAACATCGAATAGTCGAGAAGTTAAGCCCAGCTACGGCAGAGTTAGATGCTGAAGTGGGGTGAGACTGAAGAGTGACAAGGCTACCTAAGGAGCTTGGGATTGTCCCAAGGGCAACAGGGAATCAAGGGGAGGAACGTGATCCTGGTGGAGAGCCTTCTGAGCAACACCATCTAGGGCTCTCACCTAGGGGTTACCGTACGCCCCCTCCCTTCACCCTTCCCATTTGCAAACTTACTGCTCACAGTACTGGCCGGTGTAGCCAGGTTCGCAGGCCGTGCAGCGGTACCCACCAGCCGTCAGGCTCTCACAGGTGCGGGAGAACCTGGGACAGAGGAGGCGAAGGTCAGGCCAGGGGGTGTTCCCACCCTACCCTGCTCCCTTCACTCTGCCCCAAAAGCCAGGGAAAACCCTCCGCTCCCCAGTGGGAATTCCTCCATAGGCCTTGAGCAAGGGCACCCACATGTTCTCGGGGTTGGTGAGCGGGCAGGCACAGGGCTGGCAGTCCTCGGGCGTTCCGGCCGTGGCATCTCCATAGTAGCCAGGCGCACACAGCTCGCAGAACTCCCCGGCGGTGTGGTGCTGGCATTGCTGCGAGGCACAAGAATGTCAGCCACCCACCCTGGGTAAGCCTTACAGCTTTGTAAGGCTTTGATCTGGAAATCCCACGTCTGTGAATGTATCTTAAAGAATGCTCATCATTTCAGGGGTGCTTATAAAAGCGAAATGCTGGGATAAACTTAAACATCCACCAACAGGGAACTGGATAAATTAAAAGCAACACTCACCCAAATATCTATCAAAAAGGATGATTTGATTGCATTTCTTACATTTCACTACCTAAACACCTGTAGAATTGTAACACAGGTGACAAACACAAGGCTCCCCACCTTGTTTCATCTCACCCGGCCCCTCGTTTCTACCTGGAGGCAGCACCAGGTCCAGCTCCTTGCCCCTAGTTAAGGAGAGTTACACTTACACAATCCTAACATTTCATTCGGCCCTTTGAAGGCAACTGTGAGGCTGACATGGCCCCCAGTGAAAATGAGTTCGACACCCCTGAATTATAGGAAAGTCGGAGTAAACACCTGGGTATGTGGGGGCAGAGCTATGGTTAAAATAGATGTTTTATTATAAAACACGTGAGGGTTTTATATAGCATGTTTCTTGCTCTGTCAACCCAATCCTTGACCGCATACCCTGGAGGGCTATACACACTGTGAAAAGCTCAGGAAGAAAGAAGTACTGAATGACATGGAAAGATAGTCATGAACTTGTAAGTGAAAACAGTTGAACACTAAACACGATGACCCTATGTCTATTTGGAAAACAAAAGGCACATTAATGTGTATAAATATGTGCCCAGAAAAAGAGCAAAACCACTGATGCCGACCGAGGCGGCAGGGTCACAGGGGACTTTCACTTCCTTCTGGGTCACCTCTGCAGTGTCACTCTTCTACGGAGAACATGTGCCACCTGGATGGTGAAGAATCGCAGAGACCCAAGTTTTCTTTATAAAGATAGTTGTTATTCTACAGTTGCAGCCATCCTACCAGGCCTGCAGCCCCTGGGTGACCAGACCAGCTTCTCTAGGTGCTCTGTCCCACAGTTCCGGTGCCATGACCTTGGCCGTGGACCTAGGCCTACCTTACTAAGCCACCCCCTCCGTACCCCACAGCCAGCCCCGATATCCCACCCAGGCCCAGCCCAGCCCAGCGGACCCCTGCCCTGGCCCTACGTGCATCATACCGAGCAGGCCCCCGTCTCTGGGTGGCACAGGTCCGAGTGGCCATTGCATTCACACAGCTCACAGTGGCCGAGGTAGAGTCCACTCCCAGTGCGTGTGTAGCCTGAGGCGCAGTCCTGGGAGGAGAGAAAGCAAGGTTGGTCTCCACCTCCAGTGTGGTCCCATCAGTGGCCAGGGGACCCGGAAATCCACACTCTCCAACCCCTCCCACCATCTAGACTCCCACTGGCTGTTGGAGGGGCAATCCAGGCCCAGCCCTCCAACCCCCCCAATCCTCTCTCAGCAGCCCTCCTCCATGTCTCCATCATCACTTTCTCAAAGCTCCAAAGCTGGGATATTGTCCGACCCCATCCTGGCATCTCCACCCATTTAAATTTACTAAAATAACGGCTCATCCTGAATGCAGAACCCATCTGTATCCCCAGGACTTTGTTCCTGAACATTCTTCTGGCAGGTTCTTGGCTGAAAACCTTAACCTGTCCATGGAAAAAGGAGACTAGATTTGGAATGAGCCCTTGAAGCTCTTTACAACTATTTTTGTGTTCACTAAATAGAGTGAAAGAGGCTGCACACATACAACCAAAGATGTTTTACCCATTCTCAGTGAGTAACCAGGGGCTCTGAAGACAATGGGTTCCTGTTCGCCACCCCTTCCTTTGAAATCTCTCCAGGCCCTCCCTCTCTCCCCGACCATTTCAAAGGCACATTTATAAATCTGGTTTGCTTCACGGCACAGGATGTGCTCCAGGGCTTCTCCTTTCCCCAGGGGTTCTTCTTCAAATGTGCTCAATTTTATAATTTCGAGGGACCCGAAGTTCACATAGTTGGATCTGAAAATTCCTGTGGTCACAGCAAAGGTGCACAGAAGTAAATGTGCAGCGATGTGAACTTCCCACTGCGGGGTTCCTCAGTGGGTGGGTGGGGGGCTGTTCTCACGCCAGATCTCCCACTCGCCCACTGGCACGGCAGCCCCACCCCTCCCTTCCTGTGACTCCCCTTCCGCAGCTCCACACTCACTCATCTAACGCTAGCTGGTTGCCTGCTGCGTGCCTGGGGACTGGGGTGGTCAGCAATGGGCTCAGGCCCTGTCCTCCTGCGGTTCTGTCTCCAGCCAGCCTTGCAGGTGCTCTTGGATTCTTCCCAACTGGCAGCCTCTGTCCCACCCTCATTGCCCTTCCCTCCCTGTAGGACTCACCATCTCTCCCCCTCCCCCATGCATCTTACTCCCCATTGGCAGAGGCATTTTGCTGGGGCCCAGCTCCCAGGAAAATGCTGGGCCCCAGGAAATAGCCTTGCTCCAGGCTCAAGTAAGTACTCCCACCCTACCTACCCCCTTTTCCAGGGGTGACCCTTCTGCATCAAGTGGCTGTGCCAGAGCCGGTGTTGGGCTGGCCACGCTCACCTGGCAAGACAAGCCGACATAGCCTGGGGGACAGCGGCATTCCTCCACCTCCAGGGCCCGGGGTCCCTGAGAGGGCCCTGGCCGGGCCACCTCCAGGCTGACCGAGCTGATGCTGGCTGCCACTGGCATCGAGGAGAATGTGGCCCGCACCAGGATCTCGTCCAGGTCGGCCAGCGCCATCAGGAGGTGCTCGCGTGTGGCTGGCTGTCCATCAGGCCGGCGCCAGAATTCCTGGGTGGGGGGATGATGGCAAGTGTGGGTGAGGGGGTGTTGGGCTTCGTGTGCTGCTTCTGCAGCCCCCCACCCTGTTCCCCAAATCCTGCCTTCCAGACACTGGTGGAGGACTTTGAGGTGAGAACACAGAAGTGGGAAGCAGCATAGCTGGCATCAAAGCCAGGCTCCACGCACGGCAAGGGTGGAAGGATCGGTTGGAAACAGGGCAGCCGAGTACCCCTTACCTCTCGGAAAACGATCTCATAGCGCTTCCTCTCTGGGCCCTGCAGCGCTGGCTGGGAGGCCACCAGCATGATGTTGTTGCCCTGGGGAAACACCAGAGGGGTCGGGAGGGGAAGTCACAAGCTCGAGGGGACACTGGGGTTCTCCACCAGGTTTCAGCCTCTCTGTAACACCCCCCCCCCTTTTCAATCTCCTAGGCTCTTGTGCCCAGAGGAATCTGGTACATGTCCACTGCCCCCTTCCCCCAGCAGCTGGGCTTCTGCCTGCATAGTGTCCAGCCAGATGCAGAGGCGGGGGCATGGGCCTAGCACCTCCCGCTTGTGCCAGGACAGCTGACGGCTGGACTGCAAGGATGGAAGAAACACTGAAGGTGCCCCCTAACTTCCCCTCCCACCTGCCCAGCACAGAATCCACTTGCTCACCGTGATCTGGACGTCAGGGTCAGAGAGCGGGCTGCTCTGGGCCCCAGATGTATAGGACAGGGTGTATTGAAGCTTCCCGCCATAGGCTGCCACCTGCAAAGAGGCCAGCCCTGCAGTCACAGCCTGACTCTGCCCTCCTCTGGGGTGGGGGTGGGGGGATGACCGTGCAGGTGAGGGGGTGGAGCCTCTCAAGGCACTTTTACACCTGCGCTGTCCCTCCCCTCCCCACCAGTAAGCAGAGGCCAGTTACTGTGCATGGCCTGTGCTCACCTAGGAGACAGGACGTTGCTCAGTTCCTTCGCTGCCTCAGAGCTGGCAGCAGTGACCCTGAACAGTCTCTTTTCTGTTTTGGGAGGGGCTCCCCATTTCCCAGTGTCTGACAATCACAGCAAACATGCTCCAAGTCCCTTTCCGTTGAAAGGAATTTCCCAGAAAGCAGATGAGGGTAATGATGACAGTGACCACCAAGGGGAGGTTGCACAAGGTTCAAAGTTCTTAGCCATGGCGGGGGGTGGGGTTGAGGGTAGGCCCTCAGAGTTCTTGCCTCCTGGGCAGGTAGGTTTTGTTTGCTCAGAATCCATTTCCCTGCTTTTTGCCAACTGCAGCCGTATTTGTTGTAAAGGAAACTATTTCCTACATGCAGGCCACATGGTCTGAATGGAGACATTTGCCAGGCCTGGCCAGTCTGTCATTCTACCATGTCCCTTCTCTGCTCCATCCAGGGTGGACACATGAACCTGGCAAGTCTGCTGTTTCTACTGAAACAGAAATTTCCTTTACTAGTCATATTGGAAGCCAGAGAAGGACACTAACTGAGATAAAGGTCCTAATGAACCCCTGGATCCAGCCATGCCTGATAGCAGATATCCTTGGACTTTGTAATTACATGAGCCAATATATTCTTTGTTGCAGACGAGCCAGCCAGATGAGGTTTTCTATGGCTCACCATGGCACAGCCCTCGTGTTGGCTGCAGACGGCTCTCTGGTGGGCAGCCAAGGCCTTGGCTCTGCCCCACCAGACTTTCCTTTCTCTCCTCTGCCACCAGGGCAGATGTTCAAAGTGATACCACAGGGTGTCAGGCCTAGCCCCTTTGCTCACCTTGTGCTCATTCAGTTGGGAGCATTTATTAAGTACCTGTTGACTACATGCCAGGCCCTGGGCTACATGGCCCCTGAGGATGTTCTCCACAAGCTCAGGGTAAGGTAAGAACAGGGCCATACCCAGACAGCCATGAAACAACTGGTTTTCTGTTTGCATCAGATGCCAGCAAGTTCATTGCCACGCCCGTGACCAAGCTGCAGGTGTGTGTAGCAGGGTGGCTAAGGGAGCAGACTCTGCAGTCTGAGACTGGGGTTCAAATCCAGCTCCAATGGCTAGACAGCCTTGGACATCACTTAACCTTTCTGAGCCCTGCTTTCCTCATGTGAAAGTGGCAGTAAAAATACCTGGAAGGACAGCAGGAAGATTCAGGAACACAGGCCACGTGAAATACTTCACTCAGCACCGTGCCTGGGAGCACACAGCCTCGGTGCTGCCAAATCCCCGTCACCCGGCTCCACCAGTGGCTTCCACAGAGCTTCCCCACCCTCATTTCCCCCCGGACCAGACTGTCTTGTCTGCTTCTCTGCGTGGTATTTTATTGCAAATTATGTGTGTTCCTTCGAAGATTCTAAATCACTGGGGACAAGACGGAGGTGATGTCAATACTGACACTAATGTTAAAAACAGGAGTGATGATGCTGAGGATAACACGCATGATCACCAGACTAACAGTGAGCCGGCTGAGAGCCCAGGGCTTCTGCCCACGTACAGTGCAGTGTATACAGTAAGTGCTTGATTAATGCTTCTCGAATGAACAAACATAGTGCCGAGAGCTAGTGATCTGGATACAGGGTAAAGGGAACCTAAAGAAGGAGTGTCTACTTCCCCAGTAAGACGGCCCCTCTGCCAGGGGCCTGTGGCTGCTGAGGAGCAAGTGCTGAGCTGGGTTCGACCTCAGCCCTCCTTTGACCTGAATGTGGGACCCCAGACAAGTCCCTTCCCCTCTCTGGGCCTCAGTCTACCCATCTGACCATGGAGGGCTTTGACAAAGGGCCCTCTGCTATGTCAGGGCTCCATAACACCCCTCTAGCCCTCCCAATTCCTTGTTACCTTGTTCCCCAGGAAGGCTTGGGGCAGCTGCCAGTAATAGAGGCTTTCAGGAAGCAGAGAGAAGCCTTCATAGGACAGAGAGAACTAGGACAGAAGGACAGGCAGTGAAAGCTCAGGGAGCAGGTGCGGGGCCATGAGGGCCGAGGAACAGAAGCCCCTACCCCACAGCCCAGGTCCCAGCCTGCTCTTGGACAACTTGCTCCCCACTGAGATCTGGACACCCCAGCTGCTCTCCTGGTGTACGGTTTGGGTCTGTCACCTCACATCAGGTGAGTGCCTCTTGTGGACCCCAAGATGCAGCATGCCAGAAAACATTTAAAAATTTAGTGGCAGTCTTAATATATATTTAAAAATACATAGCCAGCATATGATCAATTTAAAGGAAAATCTGAACTAAATACTAGTCCAGGCAGTGTGCAGAAATGGCGGAATTTATCAGCTTGGTTCGGAAACACCCGAGGTCTAGGAAGCATGATGTGTGGGTCCCTTGACGGGTGCCCTGGCACGTACCTGAGAGCGTACAGAAGACAGAGAAGCTGGGGAGGAGGCGGAGGAGGAGGGGGGTGGAACAGCTCGCAGAGCAGCTGCCGGCTGGGGATGGGGTAAGAACCCCGGGGGAGGGGGGCGGGGGTGGGCAGCGAAGCTGGAAAGCAGCTGCCAGATCTCAGCATCCATCCTCCTCTGGGCCTCGTCCACCTGGGGGACCAGGGGAGGGAGGATGGGGGAAAGGAGCAGAGAGGGACAGAAAGGGTACCATGAGGCTTTGCCTTCCCCCAGGCTGTGCTTCGGTTCTATCTGTTCACAAGTTCCGATGCCTGATGCTCCCCTGGACCCACCGCCCTCTTGCTCCTCATGAGCCTGGTGCAGCTCTTCTGGGATGGGCTGCCTTGGCTGTGGGCCCTGACTATGCGGAGAGCTCATACAGAGGGTGCTCCGGGCAAGAGAGGGGCAGACCCAGGGGCTTGTATGAGGGAGGTGCACCTTGGGCCTCACTCTCCATGTGTACCACGGTGCCACACCAAGCTGTTCATCGCTCTGACAAGAAGGGACGAGAAGGGACAAGAAGGGAGAATGTTTCCCAAGGCAACCCTGGAGAGGACTGGGCACCAAGCTGGAGCCTGGCGTGGTGTGGGGAAAGTGGCCCAGGAAGGCCAGGGCATCCGCTCAGGGCTCTTGATGGACTGTGCCCTCTGCCTTCCTTCCTGGGGCCCCTGACACAGTTCAGACCAGGCCCTGAGTTACCTGTGGTAGCCGCTGTGCCTGGCCCCTGCCCTCTGGGGGTCCCAGGATCCTCCCAGAAGTCACAGCTACCCGCAACTGCTCCTCTGAGAGGGACGTGCGGTTCTGATGGGTGGAGGGCACAGGCCAGCTCAGACCTCCCAGGGCCCCAGTGCTGGAGCCCTGGGGAGTGTCCTCTCCCCGTGGCTGTGATGGCCAGGGAGGCTCACAACCCCCGGGCAGAAAGACGGGTGCTCCCCTCTGCAGGCTGGCACACAGCAACTCCGGGCTACAAGAAGGGCACGTGCACACACAGCGGGGTGTGGAGGCTGCTTGGGAGGCAGTGCTGCAGTAACCTGGGAGCCAGGTACAGTCACATGGCTTCTAGAGCTGAGTTAGTTTCCCTGCCACCTCGGTCACCACTCTGGCCACAGACGGCTGGCACCAGAAGCAGACCACACAGCAGATGAGGCACACACCCATCCTGGCTGTAACTCCTAGCATCGCAGGGTTTGGGCACAGCAGTGACCTGACTGTGGAGCCACAGGGCACTGCCTGGCTTCGTGCAGACCCACACTGCCTTGGGGTCTGGGCATTGCCCCATGTGGGGCTGAGGGCATCGAAGGACACACCATGCCCACATCACAGCAACTTCACAACACTCAGATCACGGGCCTACCTGGTGAGCCCGGCGCAGCCGCGCAAAATAGGCCTCCCTCTGTGGGGAGAGGGAGACGCCAGGAGAGGGAGTCAGAGAGAGAAGTCTGGGAACTGCGGGGCAGGAAAGCGGTGAATCGGACAGGCAGGCTAGGAGAGGAAGCTCCCGAGAAGGCGGCCAGGCCTCGGAGGAGTCTGGGACACTTGGGTCTAGCCAAGGAACAAGCATGGGACAGCCTCGGGACTCCCCCTCCTGTTTGTCCCTGACCTCCCTGGGACCCTGAGGGAGGGGGCACATCTGTTTGAACACCAGCCTCAGCCAGCAGGCGACTCCTGGACCAAGACCCCCTTTCCCCGGGTATCACCAAGTGACCTTAACGACTCGAGGAACACATTTGGGCAAGCTGCCCTGAAGTCCGCCCAAGACCCTGCACCCCACAACATGACCATGACCATCACCTCCCCGCTGGACCAGGTCACCTAACCTCCCTCACCTCGGTCCCCTCACTGATGACATAGGGCAGTAGTGGCACAGAGCTCACACTGCTGTGATTTGTGGTATGTAAATAGTGCTCAGAACGGTGCCAAGCACAGGGTACAAGCTCAATAAAGATGACCTGGAATGAGAATTATTATGACGCCCAACACCAAGCAGAGCTGGAAGCACAGGTGAATCATGAGTGAGCAAATGAACAAAACTGCGACTGTGTCTCATTTGTCCTTGTGTTTCAAGGGCCTCGCCCAGGACCAGACTGCACAGAAGTTGATAATCATTAACAGGTGAGCACTTACTTTGTGCCAGGCACAACCGCCAACCCCCCAACTACCCTGCAGCTGAAGGCAGCCAGCTGGTAAGTGGCAAGGTCTGTCTGACCCCAAAGGCTGTGCCCTTAACCATGATGTAGCTGATACCTGCCTGCCAGCCCAGACTACTCTGAGATCAAATCCTGTCTGTGTCCCCACTGGCCCCGCTGCTCAGCAGGGGCCTGGCCCAAAGCTGACAACTGGGGAGAGCCTGCCAGCTCCCGGTGCGCATCACACCTTGTCTCCCTCGTATGTCTCCGGCAGCTGCCAGTAGAAGGATTCATGGCCAAGTTGGGCGAAGTTGCCAAAAGAGAGCTGGGCACCCTCAGGCACGGGTTCCACTGTAAAGCCTCCCGTCAGGCGGCTGTTCCGCTGTGGATTCACCAGGGCAAAGCCTTGGAAGTCCCCTGGGGCAAAGCGGGTGGAGATCTGGAAGCAGGAGGCTAGGTGTCAGCCTGGGCCTGGGACTGGCACCTTGGTGGTGGAGGGGCGAAGGAGGGCCGGAGGGAAGGTAATGGGGATGGATGGCTGAGATAAGGGCTGGGGCAAAAACAAGGGGGGAATAGGGAGGACAACTGGGAAAAGGGGATTTGGCTCAGTTCTGATGTAAGCAATAGTGGGGTCATGGGGGGTACTAGGGCAGAGGCGAGGGCTGCTGGGATCTGTGTTCATACGGGCAATACGGGGGCATGGGCATAGGTGTCCTCATAGGCAGTGGGGATGCCCCTGGGCCAGGCTTCCGACTTGCCCCAAAGGGGAGCCAGGGCAAGGCAGGTGGCAGGGTCTGGGGCTGGGGTGCGTGCAGGCTCTTACCAGGTGTCGGGTGTAAGAGGAGCTGGCGCACTGCTGGGTGATGCCCATGCAGAAGCAGGGCAGGCAGCCGTCGGGGTTGCTGATGCTCAGGTGGAAGTGGTGGGGCCGGCAGTGGCTGCAGGTGAGGCCTTCCACCTGGGCCTGGGAGGATGGATGGAAAGGTGGGTGCAGGGAGCTAGGCTGGGTCTCTTGTACCTCCAGCCACCCATGAGGCCAGCCTTCCCAGCCATTTCCAACAGTTCTGGGAGCCCCTGCTGCCCCCGGGCTTGGGCCCCCAGCTCCCATCAGCTGCTGCCTGACCTCCCACCAGGCCCCGAGCAGTGGGGCAGAGAAGGATCCTCTGGTAAAGGTGGCAGGGACTCAGTGACAGTCTTGAGGGCATGGGGAGAGGGAAGGCCTGGCAACCACTATGGCTGTGGTCAGGACCTCATAAAGGCCAGGGCTTTGGACTGACCTTGCACTGGCATTGGCCAGCAGCGTCACACTGGCTGCCGACGCTGCCCTGGGGGTCGCAGCCACAGCTGATGGGCTCTGGAATTTGGCCTTCTCCTGTGGTGGAGGGAAGCCACTGCTGGAATCCAAAACCCACCGCGCCAAGCAGCCCCATTTCCACCAGCCCCTGGTCATGGAACTCACCACCCAGAGAGGGAGTGTTTATTTCTGAACATCTACCACATGTAGTCCTTCTACACATTCATAGCTCTCTGGGGTACAGGTGCCTTTTACTACCCCCATTTCACAGATAAAGAAGCTGAGGCTCAGAAAGGGGAAGTTGCTTGTCCCAGGTGGAGGGAGAACAAAGGTAGTCTGCTAGTTCCACCCCTGGGGGAGACTGGGTAGCCCAACCCCAAAGGCCCCCCCAACCCCACTCACTTCGGCAGGGCTGGCCCTGGCTGGGATTGCCATAGTAACCTGGGGCACACCTGTGGAGACAGAAAGCACTGGATGAATGAAAGGCAGACCTACAGAATCCCGGTGAACCTGCTGTGAGCCAGGGGTCAACGACCTCACAGCACAGGAAGGAACCAATCATTAGGCCTTGAACCTACAATCTTCATAAGAATGAGGGTTTTTGTGGGAAGACTCTGCTCTGCCTGGGGCAAGGGGTGCTGGGGTTGGAGGTAAACTGCAACCCCAGAAATCTGAGGACCTCAAATGGCAGGCTCGAGGTCGAGGTGCTCAGGGAAGGGAGATGATCATCTTCAGAGACCTGTATATGGGGAATGAGAGGCTCCTGGTCCCTCCGGGTCAGGGGGACTGGGCCCAACCTTACTCCAGGGACAGCCTCTCCTGCACCCAACCCACCCTGCCAGCCACCCGCCTCACCTCTCACAGTGTCGCCCGCTGTGGCCTGTGGAGCACGCATCACAGGTAGGGTGGCCATCTGTGTCCAGAAAGCACGTGTGGGTGGCCCTGAGAGCATGGGGACAAATTTCTAGTTAGAAGGTCAGCAGCTCTTCCCTCAGGACCGGGGGAGAAGGGTGAGGAAGAGCGGGCACGTGAACAGGCATATTCCGAGTTCCAACCACGTGCCAGGCACCTTGCCAGGAGTTCCGTGTGCATCACCTCGTGCGAGTCTCACACAAGGAAACGAGGTGGAGTATATCGTTACCCCCTTTCACAGATGAGGAAGTTGAGGCCCAGGAGGGACACATACCACATCTTAAAATGATACACCGAGGAAACGGTAAGGCCAGGATTTAACTACCGCCTTTCCAAAGGGCCTGGGAGGAAGCGAAGACTTCCTCTGTCGAGGGGCAGTGGACGTTTCAGGACAGAGCAGGTACAGGCAGGAACTGAACTCACTGGCCAGCAGAGGGGGCTCCATAGCATGGGCATGGCTGGCAGTCCTGCGGCGTCCCTCGCTGGGCGTCCCCGTAGTATCCTGGCTGGCACTGCTCACACCGAGGGCCCACTGTGTGGTGCTGGCAATCCTGAAGGGCAGAGAGTGGTTAAGGCTGCCCCCCGCCCCGGGGCTACAGATCCCTGGGGTAGGAAGAGTGGTGGGACTCACCTGGCAGGCCCCTGTTTCAGGCTCACAGACCTCTGTGTGGCCGTGGCAGCTGCAGCGTTCACAGGTGCCCAGGTAGAGGCCACTGGGCATGCGGGTATAGCCTGTGTCACAGTCCTGGGGGCAGGAAGAAGGCAGTGGGAGGGGCTTCCTCAGCAGGACCCATTCTGGGCAGCAACCACTGGGTGGCAGGGCCGGGGGGTGGGCTTGGGGAGGTGGAAAGAGCAAAAGGTGGAGGAGCCAGGGAGCACCGACCACAGAAGGAGCTGGCTGGACAGGTGTGTGGGGCCCGGGGCTCACCTGGCAGGATGGGCCACGGTACCCGGGTGGGCAGGTGCACTGTTCCACTTCCAGGGCAGAGTCCTGGCCAGTGTCCTCAGGCACGGCCACATCCATGCTGATGCCAGAGATCCTGGGCATGACAAAACCCTGTGAATGAGCACCGGCTCTGTGCCAGGCATCTCTGGAATCCGATGGGCGATGGTCTCATTCATCCTCCCAACCGCTCTGTCCTGATGCTAACTAGGCATCCATCCCCCAGCTGCTGTGGGGATTGTGGCAAGTGGCTTCTACCTGCAACTTTCTCCAGAGAATAAATTTTCCTCTCCCAGAAAGGTCACACGCACCACCCTGATCCCTAGGGTGACCAATGACAGCCAGACTAAGGGTACAGAAGCCCCTTTGCTTCAAAGCAGGATGACTACAGAGCTCCACGAGGAGGCAGTGGAGGCCTCACCTGAAACTCCTCCCTTGCCCGGCCACTTCCCCCTCCTGCGTCCCTCCCACCCTCCTTCCCAGGTTCCCCCTGTGAATCATGTTCAGCTCAGTCCCCATCTCGGGCTTCGCTTCTAGGCAACCTGACCCGAGATGAGCCCTGTGAGGGAAGCGCTGGTATAATCTCCACTTTACAGATGGGGAAAATGAGGCAGAGGATGGCCTCGCAGCCTGCAGGAAGTAGAGCCGGCAGCCTGGCGGCACCGCATCGCACACGTAGACCGGAACTGCCTGCCCGAACCCCCTTCCGGCCCCGCCCCCACCCCAGACACCTGCTCTCAGCTGGCCGCTGGCTGTAGGATGCCTGGATCAGGAGAGTGTCAATGCCCGCCAGCGCCATCAGCAGGTGCTCCCGTGTGGCCGGCTGCCCGTCTGGCCGCTGCCATGCTTGCTGCCAAGATAAGGACACGAGCTACAACCCCTGACATCCTGGGATGCAGATACCCCTGAGTGGGCGAAGCGGGAGGCCTCCCCACCCCAGAAGGCTCCTGGGACAGTGCTGCTCACCTCCCGGAAGGGCACAGTGAAGGTGCTGGGCTGGCCGGGGCTGGGCTCCCGGGAGGGGTGATGTTCCAAGACGATGCCATTGCCCTGCAGGACCACCAGCGGCTGCCTGTGCAGGGGCAGGGAGCTGGGCTGTGGCCGCTGGGTCACTGTGAAGCGCAGCTGTCCTCCATAGGAGGTCACCTGGGACGGGGAAATGGGTGCTCAGCTAGGGTCGCACAGTCAGGCCCTGTTCCAGACTCCCACTGCTACTCCCACCTCTTCCACCTCTTCTCCAAAGACGCCACAACACTCCTGCTTCCAAGCCATTGCCTATGTGGTTTCTGCAGCCTGGAATCCCCTTTCTTTTCCCACCTCCTGCCTACCTTGTCCCCCAGGAAGCGCGAAGGGAGGACCCAGAAGTAGGGTCCAGATAGGAGGCTGTGGAAGGAGGAGAAGACCAGTTCCCCGGGCACGGGGGATGAGATGCCCATGCTGGTGGTGTGGGTGCCGGCGGCGTTGATCAGGCTGAACTCAGCAGGTGTCTCGGAGGTACCGAGCACCTGGGAGAGAAGAGGCCCTTATGCAGCTATGGCCTGGACTGGTACTAAGTCCAATGGGCCTGGGCTTGGCGGTCCTGCCTGTCTGCCCCCCCCACCTCCCCACCTCAGATAGGTACCTGGGCACGGCTCCAAGAGGAGCTGGTGCACTGGCGACTGACGCCCATGCAGAAGCACTTCAGGCAGCCGTCGGGGTTGCGGGCACTCAGGTGGAAAGAACCAGCGACACATTCATTGCACAGGCGCCCCACCACGTTGTTCTGCAGGCACAGAGCTGGAAGCTGCAGGGCGGCCCCCAGGAGGGGCTGCCTGGAGCTTCCAACCAATCTGCCCACATTCGGGTAGGGAGCCAAGACCAGGGGAGCCACAGAAAGAGCACACGTATGAAGAGTGGCAGCCAGGTGAACAATAATTCCCTCTTAAGGGGAGTTTACTAACCAATCCTCTTTTCTTGGGTTTCTAGATGGCTAACAAATGCATTGAGATTTGAACTACAGCCACATGGTTAAAATAATGACTGCTACTGTTTATGGAGTGTTTCAAGCACTTGCTAGTTTCTGTTCAACCATCATCTCATTTAACTCCTCCAAGTAGCTGGAGAGGGAGTGAGGTCTCCAATGTTCACATGAAGCAACCGAGACTCAGGCATGGAAAATGATTTACACAAGGTTTGATAATCCACTCTGGGAATCGAGGTCGGGGCGCTTGACTCCAAGATCTGTTCAGTTCTTTTTTCCCATGACGCTCTTAACACAAATGACTTCCCTCCTCTAAGCCTCTATTCCCTCACCTAGAAATAGGCAATGCTACAACCTACATCGCCATGTCCCTATATGAATTAAAGTACGGTGAAAGCAAAGGTACAGTACACACACAGTGGCCAAAGAATGACTAGCAAAGGGTCTGAGACTTGAACCCAGGTCACCTGACTCCCCAACCACTTCTCGTCATGGGAAGACTGGCCAGGCAAACCCATCAGCCTCTGGCTACGCCACCACCCACCAGCCCAGGAGCTGTGGAGAGATGGATCCTCCCTTCTCCCTCTCCCAGCTCTGTGCCGGGTCCCAAGGCTCCTGGGGTGCAGCAGGGGACGCATGCGTACCTTACAGCGGCAGGCCTCCCCAGAGGGCCCCAGGCTGCCTCGCTCATCACAGCGTGCAAACTCCTGGTCTGGAGGCACAAAGCAGGTATTGGTAAGGTAGGAGGAAATGACAGACACAGTCTGGGCAGACGGCGGACAGAGTGGGGCAGCTCCAAGGATCGCGGGGTTTGTGGGCGGAGGGGCCAAGGGAAGGTGGCTGGGATACTCACTGGTGGGCCTGCACTTCCCACCCGGCTGGATGGGGTTGCCCTCATAGCCGGGGGCACAGCTGGAGGAGAGAGTGGGTCGTGAGTGGCGCTTTCATGCCCCTACTCAGTACAGCCTGCTTCCCCCAGCCCCTGCCGGCCTGTTCACCTCTCACAGCGGCGGCCTGTGTAGCCTGGGGCACAGGCGTCACATGTGGCTTGGCCATCTGTGTCCAGGAAGCAGGTGTCTGAGAATCTGTGGGGATCAAGTGGACAAGACATGGGATAGGGCTACAATGATGGGAAATGACTGTTGTTGACACCAACACAGCCATGATGTCATGTCCCTTCCCACCTGTGCCTGATCTGTAGTCTCACAGCAACACCAGGAAGACTGATGGGCCCATTATATGGGAAAGAAAACTGAGGCCCAGAGAGATCAAGTGGCATAGGACAGTTTAGTGGCCAGGTTAGGATCCAAACCCAGGTCTCCCACCTCCTTGCCCACTTATGGCCCTGGTGTGTTGTACTGCCCACACACCCAGGCATATTCGCCCAAGCTGGGTCCTACCTGCGGGAAGCATCGATGTACGGGCAAGGGCAGGGCCGGCAGGCAGTAGCTGTGGCCTTCGTGGCATCCCCAAAGAAGCCGGCCTTGCACTTGTTGCACTGTGGCCCCTCTGTGTTGTGCTGGCAATTCTGAGAGGAAGGGGAGGGAGTGGCTCAGGTGCTACAGAGCAGCCCTCTGCCCCCAGTGTGGGGCCACACTGAACCAGATGGGCTCCTTGAGGGCGGGCCTCCCCGCCCCCCTCCCCTGCCTGCTGAAATTCCTCCACAGCTTTCAGACTGGGGAGCATCCAGCTGCATCCTGATGAGGCGCTCATCACCTCACATGGCAGCCTGTCCCACGGAAAGTCCCAAATGCCTGCTTTCTACTGACCCAAACCCTCCTCCTTCTTCCAACCTGTACCCACCGGCCAGGTCTGCCCTCTGGAGTCCGCTCCTCCGATGCCTGACAGCTCTTCAGAGACTTGGAGAAGACGGTTTTCCCCGGTTGAGGCCTCTCTTCTGTCAGCCCCACAGCCCCAGCTATCTCCACTATTCTTAAGAAATACCATGATTTACAGGCTCCTTCCCCTTAGGGCTGCCTTGCTAAGGGCCATGCTTTGCACAGACTCTCCAGGGTTGTCCTGACCAGGGTGGACTTCCCTCATCTGACACCACAGCTCTATTACTATGTCCAGAGATCACAGCAGTTGGCCTGGAGGCCATGACATTCTGGAGGTCGTGCTAAGCTTGTGGGCCCAGGAAGCCTCAGCCTGGGCCTCCTACCCTGCTTTTGCCTCTTGCCCCAAGCCTGGGTCAAGTGCCAGCTGTCTACTCACCAGGCAGTGGCCGTACACAGGGTCACAGTAGCTGGCATGGCCATTGCAGTTGCAGCCAGAGCAGGTACCCAGGTAGGGCCCACCAGGCACCCGGGTAAAGTGGGCATCGCAACTCTCACAGGATAAGCCAGAATAGCCAACAGGGCATCTGTGGGGAGAAGACAAAGACCATGGCTACAGGAACCATGAGGTCCCTCTGTTTCATCTTTGCTAGGGTCTCTGCTGGATCAGGCACCTGCACTCCTCCACACTGTGGGCGCGGCCGTGGCTGGTGGCATAGGTGACAGTCGTATCCATGGCAATGTCGCTCAGCCCCACGCTGGCCATCTTGGTATTGTACACTGTCTGGATGAGCACAGCCTCCAGGCTTTGCAGCACCTGCATCATCTCGGCTCGCTGCACTGGCTGTCCAGACTCATGGACCCAGTGCTCCTGCGTGTGGACAGAGGTGTTTGTGGAGGGGGAGTGGGTTCACATGTCAGTGCCTGTCCAGCCTGCACCCCCTGTACCCCAAGTCTTGAGGACTCAGGAACCACCCACCTCGGAGAACTGGACCTGGCGCTGGTTCAGAGCACCGGGCTGGGTGGGCGTGTGGCCTCGGGAGAGTAGGCGATATCCGGCACCCACGAGGACCACGTCCGGCCGCTGCTGCACTGGCTCCAGCGTGCCACGTGCCAGCTCATAGCGCACCTTGTAGCGCAGCAAGCCGCCATAGGAGTCCACCTGGCCATGACAGGGCAGGTCAGGGCAGCCATGGACATGCTTGGTGCCCATCGTGTGTCCAGTTGTCCCCCTCCCCGCTCACTCTGCAGGCCTGGTGCTCACTGTGCACCTGGCATGGAGCTGGGCACACACGGCAGAGATGGTGAGACCTGGGCTCTGTCCTCGGGGTGTTCAGTCTGATGCGGGGAGGACTAGGATAATGCTATGCAAAGGTGCCCAGGGAAGCCAGCGAAGGTCCCTCAACTCAGTCTAGGTGTGATGGTGATCCGGGGGGGCTTTCTGATGGTGGAGTTGACATTACTCCCAACCTGAGAAGGGGGGCAGGATGGAGAGCCAGGGCCCACTGGGGGCTCCATGGGGGTACGACCACACCTTTCCCCATGGCTGAGTCTTCTCTGCTGCCCACCAACTTCAGAGGGAACAGAGACCAGGCAGGTTCTGGGCCTGTGAGGAGGGGTTCAGCCCTTTCCATATCCAGGGTGGCAGCCAGGCCCCTCACCTTGTTGCCCAGGAACTGCTCGGGCAGAGCCCAGAAAGAGTCGTGGACCAGGAAGCGTCGGGACAGATCGACCAGCTGGAACTCCTGCAGAGCAGTGTCGACCAGCAGCTGGGTGGAGGAGAGGGGCGGCATGCCGGGCTGCGCGGGCATGGTCACGTTCACACCTGCAGGGGGCACGATGGAGGGCAAAGGGCTGTAGCACGTGATGGCCCGAGACAACACCTTGAGGGGCAGGAACCCAAAAAGATGGGAACGTTCTGGGAGAATTCTGATTTACAGAGACCCTTAGTCTCTCCCAAAGTGGAGAAGGAAAAGAAAAGAAAAGAGAAGAGAATAAAAAAGAAGCCGTTTCTTTTTTCCTCTTGAAGCTTTAGAGCGGCTTTTCCCAAAGATGCTCTGGGAGAGCCAATGCGCTGGAATGACAGGTGATGGCTGGGAACTATGTGGGAAACACAGGGTCTGAGAAAGGTCAAGGGGAATCTTTGCAGTAGGACTTCTCAGGAGCCCTTTGCTTTCCACTAGATCTGTGGACTGTCCAGGTTGGAACAGCCCTCAGGGGGCAGTAGAAATTACATGGGGCTGAAGAATAGGTACCCAAGTCCTGGCTCTGGGTACCTCACTGCCCTCCAGATACGTGAGTCTGGGCAAAGGCCTCGGTTTTCCTATATGTAAAATGGGGTAATAGCAGCTTGCCTGACAGCATTATTAGGAAGATAAAATGAGCAAACTGATAATAATGTGCTTAAAACAAAGTGCGACACAGAGGAAGTGCTCAAAAACCTGTTAGCTGTTGTTTCTGTTACTCTGATGGGTCCTTTCTCCTATACACACACACACACACACACACACACACACACACACACACACAGGAATTCTCTCCACAGCATCCCCCCGATCCCTAGGGCAGCACCAACCATCCAAGAGAACTTTCTGTGATGATGAAAGTGTTCTATATCTGTACTTTCCAATATGGCAGCTGTTGGGGACCGCTCTGTGTGGTTTCGGAGACTGTAGCCCCTCAAGAACAGGCTCTGACAGGGGCTATAAGTCTCCCTGGAAAACCAGGTGATGCAGATGGCAGTCAGGACCCGACTCTAAGACTGAGGGTTCCCGTGGGAATCAGGCCTGAAATGTACATTTTATCCTTTGAAGCCTGCTCTGCCCAGCATAACCCTGCAGATATAAACCGGATGTTTAAGTTCAAAGCAAAAGGAGTAAACTCCTTATCTCACAAAACACGTCTTAAAGACCCTTTGGCGTCAGTATGACTCACAGACACTGACCTATGACAGAGCTCTGTGTTTCTTCAATTGTCATCTATAGATAACACCTGTTTTTCTATGACTGTAGCCTTTTTGACATTGATTGATGAGCTATGCATGTGTACACCTACACATACCATTCCCGATAAAAGCCATTTGGGAGAAGGGTTTGGGGCGTTCCCCACTGAAGGGAATCACTACCCCCTCTCCCACCAGAGCAGCAGATTGTGTCCAGGACGATTTATTCTCATCTGCAGTGGCTGGGAGAGCTCTGCGGAATAGAGTTCTCCCACAGGTAGCTACTAACCATGCGTGGCTACTGGGCAGTTGAAATTTGGCTGGAGCGACTGAGGAAATGAATGAATGTACTTAAATTTAAATAGCTACATGTGGCTAGTGACTACCACACTGGACAGCTCTACGGGATGGGGAGCTCATCACTCCAAAGGCAGTCCCTCCCAAGTCCGAGCAGTTTTGACTCTGAAAGCTCCCCCTTACCCTGCTCCGATTCCTGTCCACACTTGCCGATAGCTTTTCCCCTTGATCCTAAATGTGCCCTGGTGACCATGGAGGAGTCTGGCCCCTCATCTGCAGAATGACCATCCGCAGCCCAGAGACCTGGCTGTCTTGCCCTGCACCTGCCTTCCAGGGATGTTTTTAGGTCCCCCACTATCCTGGTTACTATCCGCATGCAGGCCACCTACTCACCCTGAAGCCCTGCCCCTCTGACCATCCTAATTCCGATCAGACAGACCTGGGTTACAGTTCTGCCTCTAAAATAGCTGTGTGACCTCAGGGGAGCCCCACAGCCTTGAAGAGCCTCAGGGTCTTCATTTGAAAACAGTAAAATCAGCCCCAACCTTGCCAGGACTATTGGCCATTTAATGACTGTGTGATTCAAGATGGGGTGCCAACCGAGAGCTGGTGAAGTGGTGCCTATGGCCATTATTATTCTAAACATACCACGGGCCAACTTTGGGAGGTAATCACATTTTATAAGAGTCACTTTGAGGTTCCTCAACCCTTGAAGGGGCATAATAGGCAACATCTGCCAAGTGCTTACTGTGTAAGGCGCTAAGCCCTCCACTTGCATTTAATCTCCTGTGATGAAGGCCATGAGATGCAGGGCTGCCTGATGTCAGGTGGTAAATGACAAAGCTGGGACTTGAACCCAGGTCTGTCTGATGTCTGGGACCATGCCTAAGAGCAAGAGCACCTAGTCCAGCTGCCTGCCTTTAACAGGCCCAGAAAAACCAAGAGACTTGGCCAAAGTCACACAGGCAGTAACTGGTGCAGCTGGAGGTCAGTCCCGGGCTCGGATGCCAAAGCCTGGGCTGTTACACTCCGGGGACGATGGCGCCTCTCAGTCTGTCAGGATGAGGGTGACGGGAGGGGATACTAACTGGGCCCTCACCATGAACCAAGCACTATTTTGAGAGGCTGACATAGATTAACTTATTGAGTCGTTACAACAACCTGAGAGGTAGTTATTATTTTCTACCCATTTTGAAGATGAGAAAACTGAGACATAAGATAGCAACTTGACCAAGGGTGTACGGGCAGGAAGGGTCAGAGCCAGGATTTGAACCAGGAATCTGACTCTAGAGCCCATCCTCTTCGTAACCTGAAGCAGGTAAATCTCAAGTGTGGATTTGGTTTTTCCTAAAGTTGTATGTTTTTCCCCCTGACATGCTTTTGTCACAGGGCTTAGCATCTCTTTAGCAGCACCGTGTCCCTCTCGAACCTGGTCCCACATGTCCAGTGCTGCTGCTCTCCCGGGCCTGCCCTCTCTCTAAGCCCACGGGAGCCTGGTGCCCACCCGCCTACCCACCCACTCACCCACCCACCCACGCACCCTTGAAGTCACCAGGCTGGTCAAAGCGCAGCCGGATCTGGTCCCGGAAGCGGCGGCTGCTCTGGCACACGCTGGTAACGCCGAAGCAGAAGCAGGGCAGGCAGGAGGCGCTGTGCTCCAGGTAGAAGTGCCCGTCGGGGCAGGGCCCTGCAGGGTGGTGTAGGAGTGGGCTGCAGCAGACCCCGGCAGGCAGGCCCAGCTCCACCCCCGTGCCAGGTGTCCTCCGGCCTGATGGTGGTACCTCGCTGTGGAATGAGCTCCAGGACACCGTCAGGAATGCCGAACACCATGCCTCGGGCATTCATGGCCTCACAGGTATAGGCACCCTGGTCTGCCTCCTTCACATCTCGGATGGTCAGCGTGCCACGGCCTCCCTCACTGGTCACTGTCACCCTGGTGGGCCCCGAGACAGAGGCAGAGTCAGGCCTGGTCCACCGGCTCGGCCTCCTCTGCATCCTCAGCCCCCACCTAGGCCCAGCGCCACACCTGGGATGAGAAGGGATATGGCCCCAGTTGAGCCGCCAGTTGATGATGGGGGTGGGGACACCACTGGCCACACAGGTGAGGGTCACCGTCTGGCCCCGGGAAGCCTGGATCAACTCCTGAGGAGGGGTCACCACCTGGGGAGGCACTAGGAGACAGGAGTAGGGGTGAGAGGTGTGAGGACAAAGGGATAAGGGGTGAGGGCAATGGCTCAGAGGAGCCAGGCAGGAGGAGGGTTGAGGCCGAGACTGTGGAGAGGGGCACCCGGAAACCAGCCCAAGGCCCCCAGCTCGCCCCCCACCCCAGCTCCCTGCTCACTGCAGCCAATCTCGTCGCTGCGGTCAGGACAGTCGCTCTCCTCATCACAGTGGAAACTGGCCGAGATGCACGTGTTCGTGGAGACACAGCGGAACTGCGTGGGCCCGCACACGTCCTCGGGGCGCTTGGCAGCTGGGGCACAGAGCAGGGCGTGTGGGTGGCTGGTGCCCCACCCTGTCCCCCTTCCCCAGGTGTTCCCAGGGTCACTGTCTCCTCTTGCCCCCATGACACACAGCTGCCCTGACCAGGCCCTAACACTGTCACCACAACAAGGCTTACGATGTCACGGTCACCAGTAGGCCATCGAACAGATCATTACATTACCCTGCCCCACCACTCACTCCATCTGTGTTCCCCAAACCTGGCCCACCACAGCCACTCAGTTCCTCCCACGTTTGGCCTCCTTTAGAAGAATGAGACCTCTGCCAAAGGTACAGCCGAAGGGCTGGTATCTCTGGACTCTGGGTAATACCCAAGGCAGTTCTCTCTGCCAGAAAGGCCTTGCAGGGGGCCTGCCACAGCTCAGACCTTGCTGCCCTCTGCCACTCCCACTGGCCCAGGACGGCACCTGGCCTGAGGCAGCCACCTGCGGACTGGCCGGAGGCCTGGAGTTGGCCTGGTGCCAGGGCTGGGCCCTCAGTTGGCATCTCCAGTAGACGGTGACTGATGTTCTTCCTTGGGAAGACTAAACTGGAGACCAACACAGACGGGACAGAGAGGACAGAATGGGACAGGAGTGGAGGCCACACATCCACAGAGAAGGAAGCAAGAGAAGGCCAGGACGCAGCTCTCTAGGACACTATCTCAGCGTCCTCTGTCCCAACAACCTAAAGCCCCAAGGCCATCCAGCTTTCATGGTCTCTGTTTTGTACTCTGTCGATAAGGACTTCCTTTGACTGATTCCTAGCAGAGACCTGATCTCTTGACCCTTCCCCTACTCCTGGACCATAGTTAGATGGATGGAGAGCATGAGAGATAGACAAGGGATGATACATGGATGGAGAGAGGGATGGGAGGAAGGATGCTGAACAAATGGATGGATGCACAGATGGACAGTGAATGGATGGGAAATAGAATGAATGGTGAGATGGACAGGAGGATGCTGGACAGAAAGGTAGATGGAGAGATGAAGAGCTGTGCAAAAAGACAATGGATGAATGGACAACTAAATGAAAGGGTGAGTGGATGAATGGAAGGGAGGGAAGGAGGATGTCGGACAGAGAACAATGGATAGTTGAGTGGACAGATGGATTAAGAGCTGGGCTGATGAAAGAATAAATAATTCAGAACGAGGCCCATAATGGAGATGCTTTGACTCACACATACGTCAAGGACCCTGTCATCAAGGGACCCTGGTGTACGTATCAAGCCCTTTTGGCTACTCGTCGGACCCAAGCATAAATGAATGGTAACTAAATGAAGAGCAGGAGACATTAACCATGGGCAGTCTGGCCAGAGTGCCTGCTGCATGAGACCAGCTCAGGGCCAAGGACCCTCCCTGCTGGGGTCAGAAAGAGATGAACCTTACAGCTTGTCCCTGGGGCCTTCACCACTCAGCCAGGGAAAGCAAACAGACCTGTCCAAGAGGGGATGGCAGAGGGGGAACCAGGCCTGGGCCGGGTGGGGATGCCAGGTGAACCCTGGGACACTCACGGCAGTCGTCCTCATCGGTGTGGTCTTCACAGTCAGAGTCGCCATCGCAGCGCCACAGCTTGAGGACGCAGTGCCCATTTCCACAGGGAAACTCGTTGGGCTCACAGGGCGGAGTGGGGCCTGAGTGCACCAAGCAGGGTTCAGCCAGAGGCCCTTTGCTGGCAGCTCCCCTATTCCCTGTACCCCCCACCTCTACCCCTGCCCTGTCCTCACCGCAGTCCAGCTCATCACTGCCATCCTTGCAGTCCTCCTGCCCATCACAGACATAGTCTTTGGGGATGCAGTGCCCACTGCGGCATGTGGCCTCAAGGGGCCCACAGGGTGTAAGCCTGTCTGGACCAGGGTACAGCGGCTGGGGAGCCGGAGTGACTGGTAGAGGGCGTGTGGTGGTTGCCTCTGGCCGTGGTGTTATAGGTAAAGCCTCCGCCAAACGGGTTGGTATGAAGACTGTCTCTTCTGTGAACATAGACCATTCAGTGTTGGCAGGAGGGGGTGACTCCTCACCCCTGTCCCCTGCACTTCCCAGGCCCTCCCTGCGACATGCACCCGGTGCCCTGACTCTCACATCACCCTTCCATGTGCCTGCCCACCTCCCTCAGACCCCTCTGCCTGCACCAAATCCTCATAGCCCAGGTAGACTTGGAGGCCCAGCATAGTCTGGCCCTTCCCCGGCATCTGCAGGCCACTCACTGTCCCCCAGACAGCCCCTCACCACAGTCGAGCTCATCAGACATGTCCCTGCAGTCGGGCCTCCGGTCACAGCGATACTCCAGGGCCACACACTCATTGTAGCTGCGGCAGGCAAACTCGGCCTCGGTGCAGACTCTCGGGACCTGGGGCACTGTGGGGTCGGAGGGAGTGGGAGAGGTGGGCAGCAGGTGGGTGGAAGATGTTGAGGCCCAGGGAGGGGTGACTCCTTGGGCATGCACAGGCACTGCGTGGCTGGCAGCGGGCTTCGGTGCTGCATCAGGCCATGTGGTTTCTGGCCGACTCAGCAAAGGCAAGGAGCACATGGTGGGCACGTCCACAACACACATGAGACATGGGACATGTGGCAGTAGCCTCGCCCAGCTCGTTCACAGACCTCACACCCAGGTATCAGGCCACACACATGCACCACTTCACACACATGCAGGTCGCAACCCGGCCCAGTGAGGACAAAGAGGAAGAGGAGAGGGGTGGCCTGCGGGCTGTGCCCAGCCATCTTGCTCTCATCCTTCCTTCTCCTTCCTCTGTTAACTTTAGTTACCGGGCTGGGCCTGGGTCTGGCTTACACTCTCACCTGGTGTAACTGCAGCCGCCACAGCGGCCAAGGGGGGCGGGGGTGTCTGTGCTGGAAAGGAAGGTGTGATCAGCAGCCATCCCACCTGGGACCTGGGGCCTGTGAGCCACAAGGCTGGGCCAGTCCCCCTCCTCACCCCACCATCCCTGGCCAGGAAGACTGGTTGAAAAGAGGGCTGGACCCCCCCGCCACCTTTGAAACCTGGCCCAGGGATGCCAAAAGAGCAACCTTGACCTTCGGGTGCATTAATTAAAGTTTTATGTGCAGAAGGAGAGAGCTGATGTTTTCACTACTTTTTTCTGACTTGGCTATACCATGGTAGGGATAGAGTTTGCTCAGTTCTGGGTTCCATTGAGTCAGAGGCGGTGACAAGTTGGAGCCTTCCCAGGAGAGGGAACTGAGATGGAGACAGGGCTGAGAATCGTAGCCTATGAGGAATGACCTGGGATTGTTCAGCCTGGAAAGGACGAGACTCAGGGAGTCGAACCAGGAGACAGACAGGGTGTGGTAAAGAGGACGCTGAGCCAGGACTTGGCATCTAGCAGCCCGGTGACTTGGGCCAAGGTCCTGCTCTCTCTGAGCCTCAGTTTCTCATATAATGTTATCACAGGTTCTGGCAAGACTGGCATAGACACACGGTTTGGCTTGAATTCTGGCTTTTCCACTATCTGTATACGTGGATTCGGACAAGTCATTTATCCTTTCTGGGCCTCAGTGCCCTCATCTCCAAAACAGGAGGAATAGTATCTGCTTCACAGAAACCATTGCAAAGACTGAGTGGGGGGCTGGACAGAGGGCCTCACAGGGCACCTAGCGTGTAATCAGTGCTCAGTAAATAACATGGCTATTATTAAAAACAAAACTATTTTCAATCTGAAAGTACTATATGAAAAAAAGAACTGTTACCTATTGTCAACATAGAGAGGTAGACAAATCAGAAAGTGGGTCTAATGGGTACACGTTGGAGGAAACAAATTATGTTCAACCCAAGCCAAGACTGCATTTTAAAGGTCGATGGGATGGGCTTTTAATGTGGTAAGCTCCCTGCCCCTAGTGGTGTGCAAGCCCAAGCTAAGAGAGCGCATGGTATAGACACTCAAAGGGGATCCACATGAGTCTGAGAAACTAGAGGAGGGGATGCCAGGCTCCAGGATGGGCTCACCTGTGCCCAGGCGTCGAAACTGGAATCCCTGGGGAGAGATGATGTAGGAGCCAATGGAGCCACTGGAGACGACCCTGTGCAGCACCTCCTGAATCTGAGCCCCGTCCGCGTTTCCTTCGGAGCCCACATCCAGCTCCACAAAGACCCAGCCGTCCAGCTCCCTAGGGATGGGCATGGGGCAGGGCAGCAGGGTGAGGGAGATGCCTGCGGTCTCGGCTCCTCCCTCAGCCCCTGCCAGATGCTCAGGCCCGATCTCTTGACTCTTCTATGCTGGACACTTTGTACCACAAACAGGGCAAATTAGGGCGGCCCCCCAACCAGTTCCTGAATTTTCACCAACTCACCTGATTAGGCCTCTGCTGCCTCCCCTCCTGGTACCCAGGCTCCTCCCCATCTTTGCCAGCTTTCCCCGGCTCCCCCACCAGTCCCTCACCAGCCCCCAGGGACCCTTCTCACTTGATGAACACCACACTGACAATCTGGTCTCCAGGAATCTTCAAGTACTCTGACTCCAGCTGCGGAGGGACACAGTACTATCAGCCTCCAGGTACCTATACCCTACCCCCGGTCCTGCCCCCCCACACCCCTGGGGAGATCCCCAAAGCCCTGCCCCCTCACCGTGTCTACCACAGCCTTGGAGACTTCTTGGAACGCCTCAGAGCTTGCGTCCTCCAGCTGAGGGCTGTAGTCGATGGAGTGAGTGAAATTCACCAGGGCTCGGAAATAAACTGCAGAAGCAGGGGCAGTGTCACCGTGTGGTGGCCTCAGGTAGTTGGGCCCTTTGGTGGATGGGGGGGATGGGCCCTGGAGACCTCTTGCTGCAGCTGACACCTGTGTGCCCACAGCTCTACCCAGAACTGTCCCTGAGTACATACTACAGTGGCCGCAGCTGCTATGCCCAGGGGTCAAGGCTGAGGCCCCACCCTGAGTGAGGGGTTGAACTAACGGGGAAAGTGGCTTGATCCAGAAATCAAGTGATGGTGCAGAAGAGGAGACCCCCAGCAGCTCACAGGAAGGCAGAACAAGAAGAGTGGCTACCAGAGGATGCTGACCTGGTGCAGAAATTACCTGCAAGTGACCGAGATGTTTCTCCACTCTTCCCTGGCCAATTCCTCCTCATCCCTCAGGGCTCAGCTCCGCCATCACCTCCTCCAAGAAGACTGCCTGAACTGCCCTCCTCCCCAAACCCTGGACAGATTAGAGACCCCCTCCACTGGGCTGTCCCTGCCCCTGCTTCCCCATCAGAGCACCTTCTGCCCCGCATTGCACAGATCCTGCCTGAGTGCCCATGGACTGTAGAGCACCTTGGTAAAAATCATGGGTTCTGAGGTCAGCCACATCTCAGGCACTGACCTCAGCTGTCTGGGCTTCCTTGGTCAGTTGGGACAATAAGCGCATTAACCACAGTGGGCTGCTATATGGGGAATAGATGGTATCGTGCTTGCAGGCGCTGCCTCCCTGTGTGCTTAGATGCTGCACCTGGCACAGAACGGGCGCTGGAGGACCAGAAGCTGTTGCTACATATCGCTCTCTTCAGCTAGACTATGAACTGGATGGCGGGTGGGAGGGACTGCAGACCTCATTCGCTCCCGTATCCCCAGTGTCTGCATAGCACCTAGCACATAGTAGGCGCCTAATAAGTGATGGCTGAGCCAACTTGTGTCAGATCAGTGGGAGCATATACATACAACTATTATTTCTTAGGCCTTACTATATACATTTTTATACGCATTAAATCTTGTTATGAGTTCATATAGCAGTTATAAACATGAGTGAATGTGAGTTGCAAGTGACTCATATATGTACGTGTATACACACACCAATCATTTCTTGAGCACCTATTATGAATAAGATTTTTGTATGATAGAAGGTATGAATTACAAATACCGAGTTGGTATGCGTTACAAGTGAGTTTTAAATACGTACAAAGTGCTTAACACAGAGCCTGGTACAACATGGCAGGTGCAATATAATGGGACCAGTTACTGTATTAGAGGCATGTAGCGTACTGATTAGAAGCTCAGCCTCTGCAGCAAAACTGCCACTTATAGCCCCAGGACCTTGAGCAAGTTACTTAACCTCACTGAGCCTCAGTCTTCTCATCTATAAAATGGGGGTAATAGTAGTGTCGACCCTAGAGGGCTGTTGTGAAGAGTAAACAAATGAACAAATGTAAAGTGCTTATAACAGTGTCTGGCGCATACCAGGAGCTACATGGGTTAGCTGTAATTATTCCCTCTGGTCTTCATGACGAACCGAGGAATGAATTTGGTTTCATTTTTTTCCATCTGAGGGGGGCATTCATTGCTTTAACAAATCTCTACTGAGGGCCTACTGCATGCCAGGTGGTAATCTAGGGCCAGGGCACATAGCAATGAACTCCGCAAATGACAGTTCCTGTCCCCACAGAGATCACTTTCTAGCAGGAGGAGAAAGGAAATGAAACAAATGAGCAAGGAATATATGGCGGAGGGTGCTGCTCCCCTGGGTGGCCCGGCAGGCCCTCCTCAAAGGGGAAGCTTTGAAGGGAGTGAGCCCCAGGGACAACAGCATTCCGGGCTGAGGGAACAGCAGCTACAATGTCCCTGAGGCAAAAGGGGCTTAGAGAGGTGACAGATGACAGCATGTAGGTGGCAGGGGGAGCAGCATCAGCTGGACCTGGCACTAAGGCCTGTCCTCCTCGGTCTTCACCCTGTTAGGCCCACAGGTGTCCACAGTCCCAGAACCAGGACCCTCTTCCTCGAAAGCTTGGGCTGAGCAAGCCTGGGGAGGGGTGGGTGGCCAAGCAAGGGACAGGAGTAAACCTCAACTTCTGCACCAAGGGAGGGTGTCTGTGAGGGCAGCGCCGCCTGCTCTGAGCCACAGGGACCACGCCGGGCTGGGCTCCTGGGTGCCGGGCAGGCGGGGCTCTGGGGGCGGGAATATGGGGGCCACGAGCTTGGCCACAGAGGCCCCTTGTGAGTGGGCACAGAGGCCCATTGAGAGTCCCCCCCTGACCCTGGCCCCTGGCCTCAGCCTCACGGCATGGCGAGGGCGAGGAGGCCAGGCCTCTGCCCAGGAATGTGCCCACTCCTGGGGGAGGGGCCAGGGCTCCACAAAGCCCCTTTCTACTAGGGCCCTACAGTAAGGGCACAGACCCTCCAGCCTGATCCCACCCCCAGCTTTCCTCCAGACCAGGGCAGGTCAGGGCAAGCCCTTCCCTCTTCCACCCTGGAATGTGTCACTGCAGCTGATGCCTGAGGATTAGGGCCAGGTGAGGCCTGTCTGTTTTGGGAACCAGCTCCCAGAGCTGAGGGTGCTGGAAGGAAGGGGGTGGTGTTGGGAGTGCTCTCTGGGTGCCTGCCCAGGCCAGCTCTCTCCCGCCTAGCCCTCAGTCTGACCCCATCTGGAGAGTTCACTTGGGGCTGGAGGCTGGACGGATGGATGGGAGGCCCAAAGCTGCCTTACACCCAGGCAGGGGTGGGGAATGCAGGCTACCCCACCTACTCTCCGGGCTCACTCCCTGCTCCCCAGAACTCCCACATGCACTCAGGCCCCTGAACCCCTGGTTCCCTCTCGGTCCCTCAGGCGAACACGAGCTGCATCCAGGACTCCAGGGCTTTATTCCCCGAGAGCTGCCATATCCATCCCTGCCCGACCAGCACCGCATGGGGACAACATGAGGCCTGGCCCACTCTGCTCAGACTGAGTACCCAGATGGGGCCTGACTGTGTCCTGGGCAGGGCAGGGGAAAAGAAGGAGAGCCAGCTGGGGCAGTAGCTGGCCTGGCCCCCACACCCTTTAGGAAGGTGCCTCTGAGCGTCAAGGGCGACAAAGTGCAGGCTGGGCAGGAAGAGAAGAGGAAGAAAAAGGAGTGAGAAGGCACAGCTGGGAGAGAGGTTGAGGAGGGACAAAGCCCACCAGGCTGGCGGGTCACTTACTGAGAGGAGATGCCTCACCAGGCTCCAAGACCATCATGCCGGCCATGGGGGGGCCACCCGGGGGTGGCCCAGGGCCTGCAGAGTGGAGCCGCAGAGCAGGAAGCGAGGAGACACGAAGACGCCAAGGGAGGTGGGGACAAGAAAGGGAGAGCCAGAGACATGAAGAGAGAGAGACAACGGACAGAGGGGGGAAATGACAGAAATTTGGAGACAGAAACCCAGAGATGGAGACAGACAGAGAAAGTGGGGGGAGAATGAGAGGTGACACAAAGGCAGAAGGAAGCCAGGGAAAGACGGAGGGACACAGCAGGAAGGAGAGAGAGCAGCGGAGGAGGGGAGCGGAGAGGTGTGGAGACAGGTGTCAGAGCAGGACAGACAAGAGCGGGAAAGACAAAGAGCAAGGTCAGAAGATGGAAAGGAACTGGGTGAGGGGCAGTGGGCAGGGGGTTGAGACAGGGCTGGGCAGAGCCTGGGGGAGCCACAGGCCCTTGGAGGGAAGAGGAGAGGGGCGGTGCCATCTCTGGGGCTACATCCCAGGGCCTGGTGCTGGGCCAGGGGCAGCCTCATTACAATCAGCACAGAGGACAGGGCTGAAGCAGGCGTGCGAGGCCCCTAGGGATCAGAGACACACTGCCCGCCTTCTGGGCTGAGATTCAGCCCAGCTTCATGGACCTGCCCCAAAAGCAGCAGGCTGGTGCCACGGCTTGGGCTGAGAAGGTCCAAGGCCCTACATCTCCCCATGGCTCACCCCTAGCCACGAGGAAAGGGGTTCTGCTCTCGGGTCCTCCCAGCTGCTACTCCCCGCCCCTCCCCTTCCCCCATCCCTGGCCTCTCCTGCCCTGACAGCTGCTTATCATGGGGGAAGATGAGCTGGTAAACAACCCAGAGTGGACAGAGCTGCTGCAGTGGGCAGTCCCGTCGAAGGGTCCACAGATATTCCAAATGGACGGGGCGGACTGGACCAGGGTCTCCGCGGGCAGGACTGGCTTGGCAAGAGGCAGCTCTCAGGGACACATCAGCTCAGACCATTCTGCGGTGTGAACTGTGTGCATTGGGCCCCCTGACATTTATTCCCAGGCCCCGCCCAGCTCCTGGCATCCTGTAGCCCTACAGAGACCTAAGCGTGGAAAGGCCCAGGTAGTGTCTGAGTCCCAGGTGCTGGGAGGTCGCAGTTAGACTATTCCACCCACAGGCCCACCCTCCTGTTTGCACTGGCCTAGGTAGGATGCCACCCTCTGGCATTTGAATGCCCCTGTGATGCCAGCCGAAGGGAGGCCCTAGAGAGGCCCAGGCCAGACCTGCCCTATGTGGGCTGCCCAGCGGTCAGCCTAAGCAGGGCCCCACCCTTGGCCCGGATCACCGAGTGCCCAGCACTGGCTCCCAGAGGTCAGTAGGAACTATATGGAGTTGCTGGGACTTGTCACCAGGGAGCTCTTTCTCTCCCCAGAACCCTAGGGTGGGAAGGAGCAGGGAGTAGGAGCTAGGCTAGCCCTGGCTCTGGCCAGGCACTTTGGGTGCAGGCAGAGTGGGCAGCCGACAGAGCTCCTGGTTCCTTTCCCTCCGTGAAGCCCAGCCCTCTCTCCAACCTAGGAACCCTGGGCTCCCAGGGGTGGTCTGACCAAAGGCAGGGTTCCCTCTCAGGTTCCGGTGAGGCCTATCCTCCTCCTGCTATCGGCTCTGTGGGCCTGCGCGAATGCCCAGGCCACAGAGCCCCTCTACTGCCCACTCCTGCTGGGGACCCGGCTCTGCAGCCATCCCTAGGAGGGCTCAGCAGAAGACCTCTACAGCCGAGCTGCCCTGGGAAGTGAGAATTTTGCTTTGAATGCTGAGCAGCTCACTATCAGTCCCCATCAGAACCCGGCATTTCCTATCTGTGGCGATACCACCCCAAATGTGCCCAATCTCCTTTGATCACAGAACCCGGCATTTCCTATCTGTGGCGATACCACCCCAAATGTGCCCAATCTCCTTTGATCACAGAACCCGGCATTTCCTGGCACAGGCACACACAGAACTTAGCCATGCCCAACCCTGTAGGCACCTGCCAGCCAGGTCACATGACTGTCACTCAGGAGAGACAAGCCTGCCTTCACCACAGGCCCAAGGAGCCCTTAGGGCCCTCGGCTCCAGCAATGGGACCTCCGTGGCTAGAAAGACCTGCTCTGGGGCTTTCCGGGTATGGAACAAAGTTTACAGGACGGCCCCAGCAACTTACCCATCTGGAAGATCCCGCTGCCCTCTTCCCCGCTGCCCAGTTCATCTGCAAGTGAAAGACAGGCTTATTCAGAAACCACTAATATTTGGTTCACACCTACTGGGTGTCAGGCACTGTTCTGGGCACACAGTGGGGAAGGTCATGGAAACACAGCTGTTACCTCCTCCCCAGGCCTCGGGAGGGTTGGCCTGGGGAGAGGGTGTAGACCAAGGGCAGCTGGGAAGGAGGGGCCAGACCAGACTGCCCCCCGCAGTGAGGACAGGAGGTAGAATAGGGGTGGCCATCGTCCCCCACTGTGCATTGCCCACCACCTTCCCCATCGGTCCCGATCATCCTGTCCGAGGTGGGGACCACCACAGCAGAGGAACCACCACCAGCCCAGGGTCATACAGGGCGTAGGTGGAAAATTCTGGGGTCACTGGGGCCAGGGCTCCGGACGTACCCAGGTCTTAGCCCATCTCTTCAGGCACCACTTTGGGCAAATTTCCTGAGGTCCCTTTAAGTCCTGGTGGGGAGAACCCTGACTCTGTCCCCCGCCCGCCCCACTCCCAGCCTCCAGAACCCTCTGCCCACCTCCAGAGGCTTCATCAGCCAGCAAGTCCTCATCATCAGACAGGTCCGAGTAGCCCCAGCCAGCCCGGCCTGCTGTGACCGTCTCCGCGTCCTCAGGCAGAGATGGGCCATCGTACGCCCTCAGCGCAAGGGCCACCTGTGGGAGACCATGAAGACAACTACATCACACTCTCCAGCCACTGCCTTTTTGGGGGGAGCGGGGGAGACCCAGAGTCTCAGCCTGAAGCCCCGCAGTGGTTAGGTCAGTTGTGGTTTGGCTAAGAGAGTCAGGCTGGGATGGAACCACCACCTTTGACTCGGCTCCCCCAAACCCCATCAGCCCCTTGAGGCCACAGAGCCCAGCCCTGCAAATTCTCCCAGTCTGAAGGAATCCTCAGATAAACAGGCAATACAATTAGTCACTTGGGTAAGTGGTGACTCTTCTTCTGGAGAAGGCAAGAGATATCCAGGACATGAGTTAGTGGACAGGAGACACAGGCAAGGAAAGGGTGACCTGGGCCAGCGAAGATGGGAACATAGGGAGGTGGAAGAGTGGCCAGGGTTCGAGTGGATGGGGTTACAGAGGCCGGAACTGAGGGTGAGTCCGTCGAAGCTGTCCCTTCCAATAGCAGCCCCCCACCTGGCCTACTTGGCCACCTCGTTCTGCCTCGGTCTGGCCTCCCAGTCTCCAGGCCGCAGGGAACACATTCCAGCCACATTGGCGAATTAGTTCTGGCACCTTCTGCGGCACTGACAGACTCGTCTGCGCAGAGGCGAGGGTGGAGCGCAGCAGCTGGGCTGAATGGGGCAGGACCGGCTTGGTGTCAACTCCACGTGACCCCAGGCTGCTGCTGAGCCCAGCACAAACTCCAAGAGGGGGTGCTCAGACCCTGCACCCTGCAGGCAGGGCAAAAGCACCCATCACGCCTGCCTTTCTCAGGTGTGGGTATGGGCCCTGAATGCCTTTTCCCCTTAGACAAGTTCCAAAGGCGTTTTACCAGATCACTTAGAAGAAAACAAACCCAGCGGAGCCCCAGAGAACACCAGAGCCCTCCCACTCTGACAAGCCTGCAGGGATTTGCTGTGGCCCCGTAATGCTCGTCTAGCTCCAGATGGCCTGGCAGGAGCGTCTCGTGCCCTGTCCTGGCCTTGGCCCCATCTGGGGAGCCCAGGCTGGCCAGAAGGAAGTGGTCTTGTTCGTGGAAACCAAAGCCAGCCCTCACTGGCTAGACAAGGTGGTGACAGCGGAAGAGAGGCCTGAGAAGAAAAAAATCAAAGAAACAGGCCGACCCTCTCCCTCCCTGCCCCCAACTCCACACACTACGTGTCCCGGAGCCTCTGCTCTTTTCTCATACTCGTTCCTCTGCCCGAATACCTTTCCTCCCTTTGTTTATTTGGTTCATGTCAATTTGTTTCTGGCTAACTTCAATTCCATCCTCCAAGATTCAGCTAAATATCACCTCCTTCAACTGCTCAGTAATAAAAAGAAACGAACTGCAGATATGCATGCAGCATGGATGAACATATAACACATTATGCTACATGAAAGAAGCCAGACACAAAAGACTCCCTACTGTATGAAAGTCTATGGGGAGAAAGTCTAATCCGAAGTGACAGAAAGATCAGTAGCTGCCTGGGCCCAGGGGTGGGTGGGGCTGACTGGGAAGGGGCACGAGGGAGCCTTTTGGACGGATGGTTCCCTTGGTACCTACACCTCCTTGTCATTACCAAACTGTACCCTTGAAGTGATGGGTACATTTCACAGAATATAATTTATACCTCAGTAAAGATAACTAAAAAAAAAAAAAAATCTCTGCCCTGGCTGGTGTGGCTCAGTGGATTGAGTTTGAGTGCTGGCCTGCAAACCAAAGGGTCACAGGTTCGATTCCCAGTCAGGGCACATGCCTGGGTTGTGGGCCAGGTCCCTAGTAGGGAGCCCTTGAGGGGCAACCACACATTAATGTTTCTCTCCCTTTCATTCTCCCTCCCTTCCCCTCTCTCTACAAATAAATAAGTGAATAAAATTTATTTTAACAAAGAAGAACTTCTCTGGGAAACTTTGTTCTGACTCCTTGCCCTTCCAAGCCACCTGCGTCCCTCTGGGACTCACTCTGTAATCGCCTGTACCTCCACCGAAACAGAAGAACCTTGAAGGCAGGGACTGTGGTTAATGCATTTCTACTTTCTCAGCACCTGTAAATACTTGAATGAATGAGTGAATGGAAAATAAAATGGCATCACCCACTAATTCTAGCTGCTTCCTGAAGATGACTTGCTTTCGGGGGTGCATCTCCCTTCCGAGGCTGGGCGCCTCCCTCAGGGGCTGAGTGCCATTCGGGCATCTTTGTGTTTGCAGTGCTACCAAGCCTTGTGTGAGGCCTGCACTGCCTCCTTTATCCTCTGCTCTGGCCTAAGGCCCCTCCCCCACAAAATCCATGGGCAAACCCCTCCCCCTGTTCCTTCTCCTCACCCTCTCCCTCTGGACAAAGGTGGTCAGTGAGCCTCTGGGCTGGGCCATGAGGTTCGCATCCAGGAGTGAGCCTTGGAACCTCCAGGAGCTGGCGAGACATGGATTCCTGGGCCACTTCCCAGAGCCACTGAGTCAGGCTCATTCCACCCCAGGTTAGAGGACTACAGTGGTGTATACTCAGGGGATCCTGACACTCACTGGTTAAGAATCACAGGGATTCTCCCTCCTCCTGTGACCTAAGGGGAGTGTGGGTGAGGGCTGGTGCAGGGGCACCGACACTGAGCAGAGGTCAGCGGGGCATGCCAGACAACTCCCCGCCTGAGGAGGGTTCTCTGTGTCATTGCCACGTCCTCCTCCTTCCTGTGCAAGGGAAGGCCCAGGAGGGCTGTACAAGGCACAGGGATCCCTGGTACCCCCTTAGCACCATTCCACTGTCTGGAAAAGGAGAACCCTGGTGAGCAAGGTCCAGAGCTTCTCCTAGGGAGGAAGAAGCCAGGGTGGAGCTTGGGACTGGACCAGAAATAGCGAAGTGAGGTTCAGCTTGAAAAAAAAAAAAAACAAAAACGCGGGGAATACATATCTGCAGTGAGAGAAGAGAGAATCCAGAGCAAGTCAGGCCTGGGCAGAAGCCCCCCCACTACAGGGACCCCAGGAAATAGGCCCCCCACATGCCTACTTGCGCTTGCTTGCAGCCCCCTCCCCAGGATCCAAGGCTCCCTGGTCAGACCAGGGCCTGTAGCAAGGGCCAAGCCAGCAAGAGCAGAGACTTCAATTGTGAAAAGCTGAAGATCAAAAGGTTCTAGCAGCTGGATTTCTCATCTGGGAGGGAAGATGGAGCCAGACCGGAAAGAGGCTTCAGAAAGAGCCCGGAAGAGCCTGGGACTTGATCATAGAAGGGAACTTAGATTCAAACCTGAGAAGCCCAAGGTCTGCTTGGAAAATAAGAAGAGCTAATTTATTGGGCACTTTACTATGCACCAGGTACTCCTTTAAGGACTTCTATGTGTTAACCCAGGTTATAGGTGTTAAGCAGCCCCACTGGAAAGAGGAGGAAATGAAGCAGAGTCAGGTCACCTGCTTGAAGACCTAGCAGGTAGTAGAGCTGGAATCGAACCCTGGTGGTCTGGCACCAGTGGCGAAGCCCCCAGCACTGCATACACGGCCTCTGTAACCAGGGCTGTGCAATGAGCTGGAACTCGCCAAGCGGAATCTCGAGGTCACTCAGAGTCCTGAAGCCTCTCAGTCACAGTGCATTTCAGTTTACAGAGCATTCCCTCAGCCTCAGTGCCATTTGACCATGACAATGACCCCCTGAGGTGGCTGAGCAGATGTGAATGGCTCCCTTTCACAGAGGAGGAAACAAGTGAGTGTCTGGCAGAGCCAGGACTGACCCAGGACCCCAATCTCTCTGCTCACCAGGAAAGGAGGCAGGGCTGGCTGGGCTGGGCTGGGCTGGGCCAGGAAGCCCAGGGCTGGCTGGTCCCCATCCCCAACCTGACTAGTTCCCAGGAGGGACACAGGATGCATGTGCTGGCAGCAGCCTGGGCCCAAGCAGCAGGTCCCACAGTCCCAAGGAGGGCTGTCGGAGACTTGAAGGTCAAAGGCAGAAATAGCACCCAGGTTTCCTGCCTTCCAGCCTGTGTCCAGCTAGGAGGGAATCTGGCCTCCTCACAGAGGAACCCGGGACTTCAGGCGGGCATTGAAGCTGGACAGCAGGCCAGAGAGGAGGAGTCCAGAGGGCAGACCTGGGCCGAAGAGGAAGGAGCCAGGCACAGAGAGAGAAGTGGGGACAGCTGACTCATGTAGGCCAAGGTCAGCAGACTGTTCTAGTGTGCTGAGAACAATTGCTTGGGATGGGGGTGTGAGCCGAGTAGCTCCCCTGCCCCCTGGACAGTGAGCATAGAAGAGAGGTTGGGGGTGGGGAGATGGTGTACCAGACAGACAAAGCACTTCTGGGAAGCACTTGCTCCCTGAGGCTGGGTTGTGTCCAGGCCTTCCTGGTGAGGAAGAGGGTGCACACAGAGCTCCAGGTCCTGCAGAGGCCCTTGGGGACAAAGGACAGAGACAGGGCCCTCCTTTCCTGACCTGGGTGAGGATAAAGAGGGAGGCAAGGGTAGTTGAAAGGAAGTGTGGGGGTAAAGGTCAAGCCATTAGAGATGGGCACAGTAGTTAGACAAGGTTTAGGGTGCAGGGAGAGGTACAGACCCAGATATAGGACACGGGGTTTTAGAAGGAGCTTATAGCAAGGACCCTAGCTTTGCAAAGGTTAAGAGCTTCTGGAGCTGCTGAAATCAGAGTTGTAGGAAGATGGCTGCACAGTGAAGAGATGACAAAAAAAAAAAAAACAATCGACAATCGAACTCTCCCCCGGGTCCCCCAGTTAGTCCTCAGCACCTGGGGTGCACCGAGTGGCTGCAGGGTTGCCATCCCTCATGTGCAATAAGGGGAATCCAAGGAGCTCTGAAAACCAGCAGTGCGTGTGTGTGTTTTCAATAAGTTTATAACAAGCTCATTTGGTGCCGAGCCCTGACCTGAACTGACATGAAGCTATTAATAGCTTCTGCACTCCACCTCGGGGAACCGTCACACACGTTGCCGCAGCAATATTAATGTGCTTTATTACGGGGTGTTGCCTCAGACTCTACTGAAGATGTCATGTTGCAGCTGGCATGTGCTCCATGTCACCT